TATCCATTTGCTTGATTTGTTCCCCTGGACCTGGACAAGAGTGATAAAATATGTCCAGTGACAGATTCCCTTTGCAACCAGCAGGCCAACACAAGCAAATATTATGCACATGGAAGCGAATTGGCATCCAAATGATAGGTCTCTAGTTGGAAACTCAGCATGCCTCTAGTTGGTTTGGAGGTGTGGTTGGGGTGCTTGCGACTACCCACAGAAGATAATGATTTGGACCCCCCAAGCCACCAATCCAAAACCACCAACAAAAGGTTAGCTGAATATAGAGACTGGCTGAATGTGTTGATTGCAGGGTCCCAAAACAAATGTGACATCCGCAAACCAGCATCTTCCAACTGGGTCCTCCAAAGATGCTGAGGGGAGCACTCCTTTACAGTAATTTGAGAAGCCCTGCAGATCAACAAGGCAAAAGCCTGTTATTTTCCCAGCAATCTCCCTTCGGGTAGTTTCCTTCCCTTGATTTAGGCTTTATGCTTTTTTGGGAAGCATTCGGGCGGACATGGTGCGCGAAACCAAACCGGAAACCAATCACTGCCGGTTCCTGGAAGTATCATGAGCGGCCAGGAAAATTGATTGAAGACACCTGGAGCCTCAAAATTCCAACTTAAAAGTCGGCTATTGCCCCAAAGTTAGTTATGTTGGAGGGTCCAGGCACAATAATTCCCTGTTGGTCGCTAATCACGAGGATTCTCTTGGCCCTTAGCCACTCACAAAACCCCGAGTTTCCGCAACCATGCACAAACTTATATGTCTATATACATATGCATATTTGGTGCTACTTGAAATTTTGAGGGGAAGACTGGAAATCGGAAATCGGGAAAGCCCCAACAAAAACCGAGGGTCAGGGGGCCCAGGTATATATATATATATATATTATGTATATATATATATATATATGTGTTTTTTGCTTTTGGCTTTGGCCACAATCAGTGGCCCCGCGGTCATTTACGGTTTTTGGCCAATATGTTGAAACACTACGGGCAGTATACTGCCGAACAAGGCCACTGGCCAGACAAAGTGACCAGGGAAAACGCTCCAAGCCTAGGTTTCCCAGCTAGGTGCCCTTTCTCGCTTTTTTCTTTTTTGGAGATTCGGTTCCCCTACTAAAATCGACAAAACTGAAAGCAAAAATGGTAGCGGCTGATTCTAAGCTCTGAAATCTGGAGCGATGGATCGATCCAACCCCGGCGCTGGCGGGGGTGCGAGGCACTGGAAGAAGGCGTACCGAGACCTGTCCCAGGGCCAGCGCCTGGATTTTCAGGAGTAGGGGGGGGCCGGTGGGCCGAGGGACCTGGTACCATGTCAGCTGGCACAGGGTTGGATAGGGTTTATAAACCATTTACCAGGGAAGTCAATCTATTTGTTTTGTTTTGAGGCCACCTATATGGCTGGTACAAGAATCAAGTGGACAGGGGGCATTTTAAGATAATGGTAGTCTTCCGAAACACCCTTGGAAGGGCACTTCCATGATTCTGGGAAAGAGAGTAAACTCCAAAACAACACCCGCGTCCAACAAAAGCAGGAAGCGGGCAGGTTGATGAATGTTGGGTTTCAATTGGGTTCCTCCCCACCAACAACATCGAAAAAGAAAGACCAAAGAGGGTCCCTGAAAGATAGGTTGCAGAGTCTGGGATCTCCGAAGCAATCATACATTTTAGAGACCAAATATCAGTCAACCCTCATTTGGCGGATTGGATTGTGTTTTGGGGATTTGCACTAGTTCTTAGTGGGAAATGGGAAGCTACCCAACCTCCAAACAACCGAATTGGCAAATTTAGAGGTAAGCTGAAAATATGAAGCAGACTCTGAGCATATTATTCGCTTGTGTTTGTTTGTTTGCTTTTTGCGTGTGCGGTTGGTTTGAAAGGACACCAAAGGGAAAGACACAATTTGTTGGGGGTCGCTAGTTTACGACACCCATTTTTGATGTACAGAGCTGGGCCAGGAAGGGAAAAGGGGCACATGGCTTGGGGGGAATGTTAGTTGGCCCGCGTTTGGATGGCAATCCTCGAGGGTTTAACCGGTAGCCGCGAATCATTTGGCTGTCACCCGCAGAGAAACAAGGGCGTTGGGACCAAGAATCAAGTCATACTTAAATTAAGGTTTTCTAGCAGACATTTGGGCGATATGGGGAGACGCCCGCAGCATTTGTTTTGTTGTCGTGTTTGTCGCTGCCTTTCTTTGGGGCATGAATCAGGCCTTTGGTTCGGGCCGCGCCCAGTAGGACGGGCAACCACAAGGAGTACCAGGGTGTTGGGCCAAATCACGGCAAGCGCGTTTGACGCTCGTCGAGGTGAAGGAAACGCCTTTGGCTTACTCTGCCCATGCTGGATACTTGGCTCCAACGCGTGTCGCCAAGTACCCGCGTGCTTCGCTGGCGCAGTGAAGTCTGTGCCCTCGGAAACGCAGTTGCGTTGGAAGGGTCAGCAGAGTCTTCTCCGATAGATTCAGCAGTCTGCCGCGTCGTCTTCACAGCTGCCTTTCAGAAGTTGCGACGCGAGGCTAGGGGTGGTACGGACGGAGATGGGGGCCTTTCCGGCGGCCGGAATTCCGCACGTGCAAGCATTCCTTCGCTGGGAGTGAGCTACCATACCAAGCCTTGGTGCCAAGTGTCCTTCTTTTTAAACATATGTTTGGGCCTACATAGGACCAGGAACCACCTACCTGGAACCACCAGCCGTACCAGTTGTGCAGATTTCCATGGCCGTTTCGCTAGCAACTTGAGGGCCCCAGAGCCGGGCGCCGAGTTTGGGATCGGCCCTTTGGGAGTTCAAAAGACGTGGCAAAAAATGGGAGGTCCTCACACCGAAAGACGTGCCGGCTCCCGGCCATCCGGCAGCTTTTTAGTGTTTAGTGGGGGATTTAGCTTTTTAGGCTTTAGGTTGGTTTAGTGGCTGGGTTTCCATCAATGATGACGGTTCTTTCTCAGGGTCACCGGGCAAGTACATCTTCACAGTTGTTGGCATGCTTTTTTGGTATTTGAGCTCTTGTCTTTGTGCCGTTCTCTGATGTTTAGTGTACTGCAAAGGCAGCACTCGCAGTAGATTCCCCGTTCTCTTCTAGGAACCTTTTGATACAACATCCACCGAACAAAAAAACAGTTGCTGAAAAGAAGGATGAGTGAACAGAACGGGGATGAACCAAAGTCTAACATGAGCTCACCCATGATCTGTCGCCTTACTTAGGATTCTGTTGTTTTATCCAGTTTCCGGTTTGCCAAGCACTGTTTTCTTCTTTCTTTCTTTTTACCAAGATGGCAGATCATGTTGTTTCTTTCTTTGTTCCGTGTTGTTTTCCCCAACAGCTGAAAGCTTTGGGGTCTTAGCCCAGATAGGCTCTGGGGTGGTCCGGGGCGGCCCTATGGCAAGGTTCCACCAGGGTTCCACCACGGTTCCACCAAGAATCCACCAGGACCTCATCAGTCTTCCACGAGGTTCTGCGGGGGCTGCGGGGTGGTGCGAGCACTAAAAAGAGCACCGCATGCTGTTGGGGATATCACCTGAGCTTAGATTTTTGTTCTACCCAAGTTTGCAGATCAATTTACCAGGCTGACGACTGAAATCCATCTACCCACCTGAACAAAGGAAGCTGAACCGCAGGAGGATTACGCCGACATGCACGCCACGGTGACGAAGAAGTCAGGAATGGACAAGGCGCCGGCGCGAGAGCCGGGAGGGTCCGCGGTAGCGCCGCTCGGACAGCAGGGACCCGCTTCCATTTGGTTAAGAATATGGCCATGGGTCGGAATCCGAATCGTACCCCCAGTGAACATCCCAATCCAACCACTAAAATAGACTAAAATGGGTGGTGCACCTACCCCAAAATGGTACCAAAACGGTTTTGACGCCATATGTTTTATTGTGCCCAGTTGGTTTGAAAGGGAATCTATCACTACTGGATTTCTTTACTTTTTCTTCAGGGGACTCAAGCAAATGGAGGGTTTTTGAGGGCGCAAACCTCGTTAAGATAAATCAGGCTGGAGGTCCGGGGTTGAAAGAGAAGCAATCACGACATCAAGCTGGAGGGCTCATGACCCCATTCTAAGGGAGACTCCAGGTGCCAACAAAAAATGGGTGCGCCCTAGCCAAGATTTGACTGATTCGCTCATGCCAGGGAATCCATGATGTAGGTCCTGTCCTTGACCCAGCTCCAATTTTACTTGGGGTGTTACTACCTGGTTAATGTGGTTAGTAAGGCTCTTTGCAATGTCGGTAGAACCAAAAGGCAACACGGTAGGAGCTGCTCATTTCAGGTTTGGGATGATTGTAACAATTGACCGTGTCGCAAGGGGGACCTCCTTGAAAGATGGCTGGTTGTCCTTTGAAAGAGTACTCCAAAAAAAGACAGACCACTTTGGGTGTGACTTGCTCCCTCTTTTTGTGGTTTTAACAGGAAACCAAGAAGAAAATGCCACTGTTCGGTCCTTTGGGTGTCCCTTTGAACCACCCAGACAGAGGCTCGAAGTTCCCTCAAACATGGGCTATAGCTCAATTTATTGTTGGCGAGTTCCCTTTTTACGGGTAGTTGGCGGGCCAGGACCCTAAAACTGGGGGGTCACGACCCTTTTGTTTTGGGGACTCCAGGTACCCTAAAACAAAAAGGACAACTCTCTAGGGGTACCTTCCCCATTCTTTCCAGGGATCCTTCTTTCAAGAAAACCTCCGGAAACCCAGGGAAAACGGATCCGGTTTTTGGAAAAAGAACGGTGGTTGAACAGAATGGAAAAGGATCCGGTTTTTGGAAAAATAACGGTGGTTGAAGAGAAGGGAAAAGGAAACAACCCCTAGAATCCCCCAGTGAACATCCCAATCCAACCACTAAAATAGGTTCTAACATGTGTGGTGAATTCACCTACTTCCCAAAATGGGATCCCAAAACGGTTTTGACAACCACCTCCATGCCCTGAGAAACGACGCTCCGTGACTCAGCTGGTCGAGCTGCCAGGCGCCGCGGCCGGAGCGCCCCAAGGCGGTGGAGTTGATTTTTCACGCGGAGGCGCCCAAAGTCGTGGTCGAGGACGCGAAGAGGTTCCGAGGGACGTCGGCCGGAGATCGCCTCGGTTTGGCTGTGGTGGTCAAACAAAAGCGGTAATTGCCATTTTGGGGGTAGGTGAATTCACTCATTCTTGAACCTATTTTAGTGCGAAACCATTTTGGATCCCATTCTGGGGTAGGTGAATTCACCACCCATTTTGTCTATCTTAGTGGTTGGATTGGGAAGTTCACTGGGGCTACGATTTGGATTTTGACCCATGGCCATTTTAGCTTGGCGGCTGCCAGCCATCCGGTTCCTGAGCTTTTTAGGCTTTAGTTGGTTTAGTGGCTGGGTTTCCGAATTTAACCCACTCAAAGTTGAACTTTGAACACTGGATCTGAGGACAGTCCGGGGCTGTTTTGGGAGGTATTCTCGAACTGTACCCTAACAAAACAGGGTAGGTGCTCATTGCACTGGGGTCTGCACGTTTTAGGCGAACAATGCAAGAGGCTGAAGATGTGATGGACTTCCATTTGCTCAAGACCATGTTTTCTGTTCCCCCTGTTGGTTTTAACGGGAATCTATCACTACTGCCTGGAGCATCCTTCTGACCCTTTGACAATGGGTGACCAACCATAGTTTAAGGGTGAAAAGGAGACTCTAGGTACCCCACTGTACTAGGTGAACCAGCCATTTTCCTTCTGGTTTTTAGAGTCAGGTTTTTTCTTGGTTACCTATTATACCGGCAAATGGAATTGCTGGGGAAGACGTTGTTTTTGGCTCAGGAGAAGCCGAAGCCGCCCTCGAAGGAGTTCAAGATCGGACAAGCCGTAAGGCTCGATCCGCGGCGACCAAAAAGTGTCGATTCTGGACAAAGAGCTCCCCGGACCCTCAAACTACCAACCAAAAAGGGAAATTTGCCAACCAAACATTTGGGGCCGTAGCCCACGTTTAAGTGAGCATTTTTTGGGTTCGGGTAAAGTTTTGGATGGTGAAGGCAGAGGTGTCCTTTTCTGTTGTTCTGGTAGAAAATAGATAGCGATTCCTGGTTGCCCGATCGGTTGTTTCATAAACCAGGGAAATCCACCTATTTGCAACCAAAAGGACGTACTCGTTTAGGTGGGCATTTTGTGGGTTCAGGTCAAGTTGTTTTCCTGGTGAGAGGGGAGGTTCCTATTTTCAACCAAAAGGACCTATGGTAGGTTAAAGCTCCAATTCAACAGCAGCCAAGGGCGGGGGGTTGAGGGTTGAAACCAGCAAGCGACAATTTGTTTGTTGTGTGTTTTTGGTTTTCTTGTTTTGTTTGTTTGTTTGTTTTTTGGGGGGAAGGGGAGACCCTCTTTTGGTTTTAGAGCGACACCAAAAGGAAATCTGTTACCGGGGTCCAACCTGAAAAGAGACGAGCCACTTTATAGGACATTGAGTTGCCATTGGGAGGTTCGCCCCCATGGCGGCTTTGCGTTCACTCCCCGAGTTTCTGGGACGCGTTTGGTTTCCGAAGATCATATCTGCTACGACAGTTTACCCTCAAACAGACCCATTTGATTGCACGTTTGCAAATGTGTTCATGCAAAATGGAACCGCAATTGGGAAGCAAGAAATGCATTCGGCATACGCGTCACCCCAACCCCGCTACTCGACCACGAGAGGCTCCCATTCATTTCGTGCCTTAAATACTGAAAGCACGGTTTTGCCTAAGAAAATATTAAACCATCCAAATGGATATGGAACTTGATCAATTTACTGGTAGGCTCCCTTGAAATTGCCACTTTTGGCGTTCCAAACGAGAGAAATTGAGGCACCCTCCCAAAGAAAGACCACCCCCCTTTTGCTTTCCTTTCCCCCAAGAAAACGCCCAAAAGCCAACCCACACCCAGCGAACCCGCCTACCCGCCTCCTCGCGTGCCTCGCGAGGCTGGGGGGCCTGCTGAAGGCGCCCTACCTCAACGGCAAGCGCGGCTTAGTACAACGCCTCAGCACCCAGGCGCCGTCGGCTGCTGGGCTCGGCGCGCGTTTTTTTTTTTTTTTGCAATAGGCAGGGATGATGTACGGTTCCGTGTGTTGGAAATGAACCAGTTTTGGGGATTGCCTGGAATGAACCGTTTTTTTTTTCTTTTTTTTTTCTGATGCTGATAAGGTTGACCCAGGATTTTGTTCAACCCGTCCCATTATTAGCGGGGTGTTCAACGTCCAAAAGTGGTCTGAATCCAACCACTAAAAGGGGAGACCCCCATATTAATCAACCGCGGGTTTATTAATCCGGGGATAACATTAGGCAGGGAATGGCCCGTTCCGGGTGTTGGGAATGAATCGTTTGGGAGAAGCCCAAAGCTAGGTCCCCCCCAGTAGTGCCCTTTTGCCCTTTGTTGGGGGAGGGTTCCCCTACTAACATCGACTACAGAAAAACGTTGGTACCCTTATTCTAACCTCTCTACTGGAGGACCTAGTTAAAGGAAACCACCTGTGGGATAGTTTGTGAGGGTCACTCCATTTCTCATCTGCGCTGAGAACCAGCAAGTTGGAGTTGGTTGCCCTTGTCTTGGGCTTCAAAGCGAAACCAGAAGGAAAAGCAAAAAAAATTGGGCGGGGGGGAGCCACCTCGAAAAGGGACTAGCGGTCATAGTGAACATGATTGTTGGGGTACAGTTATCCTTTTTTTTTGGAGCCTGGTTTTCTTGTGGCCCAGCATGAATCCACTTAGAGGGTCATTGCTTGGGATGTGCCTTGGGAGGATAATGTCCAACCTGGATTTGCCGGTTTCCATCCTGTTGATGCCGCCCCTCCTGCCCGAACAGGCCCCCCCACGTCCTTGAGAAAGACTAACATAGAGGTGTGGTTGGGTGGTGGTGCTGTTGGGGGTCCTAGGAGAAGTTTTATGAGTTGACCTTTTCCGCTTGCGTTCAGTTGAAGCGATGTTCACTGGAGAAAGGCTTCAGGGTCACAATCGCAATTCTTCAACCTTGCTGAATCAAGGTGATTCGGATCCCCTGTTCTCGGAACGTGTTTCGAGATGTTCCATCTTTTCGGCGGGTGGGTTTGTTTACGTCACAAAAACGGTTTGGCTATAATCATCAAAATGACAAGTCTGGGTGTAGGGTCTCTGTCGTTTGCTGCATGTTTGCGCTACCAATCAATGTAGAGAATATCATTGGAACTGTTGGGCAACCCCAACGGGTTCTCCAGACGGGAACTCGGTGGCTTGCAATTTGGAGTGAGCCCCAGGTTCCTGTTTCACCTCATTTTTTACCCCGGACATGAGATGCGACACGCCTCTTGGCATTCCCATAAACCTTAGGCATGAAGTTCGTAGAACCAAATCTCACATCGAAACTTGCACCATACCAGTTCTCAGCCATTTCAGCCCTCTTGGAGACGTTGGGGCTGGGCAACCCGGAGTCCTTGGGCGCGACGTCCGACGCAGGTGGCGTCAATGGGTTTCGGGCACTGCTCAATGGGTTTCGGGTTGGTACCCCCCTTTTTGGTGGTTTTTAAAGCGAAACCAAATGAAACACCGAGGCCGTGTTGGGGGGGCGCCCTTAAAACTAGACACACCCAACATGTTTCTCTCCAGCTGGCGGTCTCGTCTCCGGCTGGGAAAGGCTGCAGCGAGAGCGCGCCAGGACAACGACCGCTGGGAGGTGGAGATCCGCCTGGAGCGAGGCAGGGCTCCATTGAGCCCTCCCCCAGCTGGGCCTAGGAATTTGGGTACCAACTTCCAGCGGACGAGTCTCTGAAAGTGAGTTTCAATCCATGATGTAAACTCTAGGTTTTGCAGTAGTGCCCTTGGACCCACTTTTTTGGGGTTGGGTTGGGAGTTTTACCCTTTCGGGTTGGGAGGGTTCTTCTACTAAAATGGACTACAGAAAAAAGGTGGTACCCTTATTCTAACCTCTCCTACTGGAGGACCGAGGAGCCGTGTGCTTTCTTCTTTCCCCAGACGAAAAGAGAGATGCATCTCCCACCCTCTTGCGGTTTCCTTTTGGGTTCGTCTCCGAATAGTGTCCACCCGATAGGTGGTTTGGGTGTCCCTTTCAGCCACCCGAAAACCGGTACCCTCAACAAAACAGACCCGTGCCAAGATGGGCGGACCAAACAAATGCTGGTTTTGCTTCTGGCTTCGCTTTTAACCGACCCCCAAAAGGGTCGCCCCAAAACAAAACTGCACGAAGCTGCAGTATGCCGACATGCGTTTTGGTTTTCGTGTGGCGGCCGTTTTTGGTTGCTGGCAATCTGTGGGGCTCAGTGGTAGTAATTCTTAGTTGCCCAAAACCGACCTTTCGGCCTTTTGGCGTTCCTGTTTTGGTACCCAACTGTTTAGTCCTTTTATTTCTGGACAGCTGAGAATTGATTCTCGATGGTATCTTGCTTTGTCTTGTGTTTTACATCGTTTCAATATGAGAGTAGGTGAAAATGCAGTGCAGGAGTGTGACCATATGACATGAGTGTGGCATATGTTTGTATAGCGAGAGAGAGAGAGAGTTCTTATTGGTAGATGTATGGGGTTGCTGTTGCAAGGCGAGCATTGAGGCGGCCCAATCCTTGTGCAGCCTGGTCTAGGGGCATCCTAGTGCTTTGTGGCATGCGGACGCTGTTTGTGACATACCCATGTGGCTATGAATTTGAATGAGGAATAACCCTCCCAAATGGTCGGGGGACATAAATCTCCACAGAAGCGATGTCCACCACGACGTCGTCAACCAAAAAGGACATACCCGTGTGTCCTCTTGCTATGGCGTTCAAGCCGAATCGGGCTTATTTGTTTTAGGTATGGTGGAGATCAAGTCGATTCGCAGCGAGAACATTATTGCGGTGCCTCGCAATCAAGCCTGGCGCTCAGTCCGATTTCATTTGATGGGTGCATTTTTTGGGGGACCCACAACAATGGCTTCGATTTTCTTTGAAGGTTTCCCTTTACCCAAAGAATGAATCCCCCCCAAATGGGTGGCCCGAAATGGAAAGGGCGAGGTGACCTGTCCGTGGTGTAATTTGGACCCATACCCTGCGAAAAGGAAACTCACCCATTTTCCCTATAGCTCAAAAGGTGATGAAGCCGGCTAGTCTCCTCAAGTTGCAGTGCGCCTTTCCGAATCGTCAACAGCCACGTGAAGAAGGCTGTAGAACTGATGTACGCATAAATTTGAGAACTTGGGACCCTCTGGACATCGTCCAGGGGATTTATGTTCACCAACCATTTGGGAAGGCGTTCCTTGTTGAAATTCATTGCCGTCATACTCCCTGGCTTTGGTCAAGAGTCACGTTGCGGGAGCTAAATCCCATAAACAGCGCAAGCACCTTTGCTAGTTCGTGCCTATCGCAGGCGATTCGCTTCCGGACTTTAAGGCTGGTTGTTATGAGGGCAAAACAGGAACTTCCTAACTAAGTGGATGGGCCAAACGCATAAACTGGTTGTTCACCACTAATTGACAAAACATGTGTTTTTGTTTAAAAGGCGTTGAACAAAAATCCAGTCACACACACATGACAGCCCAAAGCCGTCGTTTGTATTTTTTTTGCCACTAGCACAGCCTTTTGCACTTGTTTGCATTTCTGCCCCTGCACATGGGTTCTAGGTCTATGGTAGACCAACTATGAATGTAATCTACAAATATCATGTTCGGTGTTGACCACACTTGTGCCCATTACTAGGGGTTTGTCTCTAAGTAGGACAACTGCAACCCTCAAAATTGGTGGCTTGCAGTTGGCTTCCCAAAAATAGACACACTCAATTTTGCTTTATCCGGTGCTTCCAGTTACCACTACATACATATATATATATATATACACTAGGTAAACCAGAAAACAAAATCAAAAGCACTTCACGTTGAATCAAGAGGTAAGGAACTGGTTGCCTACTGGAGTGGCAACTGCAAGCGATGGGCTGTATTTTCTCTAGTGCAACCCTCGAAACGGGTGGTTCCTCAAACCAACCCCCAAAAAGGTGCCCTCAAACAAGACACCCATATTGCCTTACCCAGTGCTTCCAGCTACCACTATAGCAGGTAACCAGGGGAAACGTTCCTGTTAGTCTAGAGGTAAGGAACCCTGGCTACGCTGCGCTCTTCACGTGCCGCCTTCAGATTCTGGAAATTTTCATCGGGGGGGTAGGCGCAAGAAACGGGTGGGGTCGTTGACGGCCCTTCGAAGGGACCAGTTTCCTTGGACCCCTTGGACCAATTGGACTAATTGGGCACCCCCCCCAGAAAAAACCCGCACGGCGATGCTTCCACACGCCACCGCCTTGAAATTCTGGAATCCCATCCGGGGGTATGTACAATGCGGGGTGGGTAGTTGAGAGCTTTTCTCGGGTTCCTTAGGCCTCCCGCAACGAGTTCCCTTTTGGGGAGCCTTAGGGAACCCCGCTTGGACCACCCCTCGAATGCATCGCCAGGCTGCGGAGTGGCAGTTGGAGGAGGCCCGGTTCACCCAAGAGCGGCAGCGCCGGGAAAAGGCGCTGAGCCGTCCGGGGGGGCGAAGGGTCTTTGGTTGAGGGTATGCGTGCGTGTTGTGTGTTTTTTGGTGTGTGGGGGGGGGGTTAAAGGACAGACAACCCACAGTTCATGTTTGTTTGATTTTGTTTTTCTCGTTTGTTTGTTGTTGTTGTTTTTCATTTTTTTGGGTGGGGGTCAAGGACAGGACAACCCGACAACCCAAGGCCCGTGCAGCTCAAGCTCAATGTACAAGCTTCTCTGCAAGACAAATTAACGTAGAACCTAAAGCACCGTCAATTGTAGAGCTGGATGTCAGGATCTCGCCTGGGTTCTGGTTTCAACAGCCAAGATGCGGCCTGGATGAGAAGGTGTCCGGTTTGTGGCTTATCATGTTTTCAGTAGAGTGAGGCTATTGCAACACGCCCTTCTCAAATGAACCAGGGGGTTTTGAGAATAAAGTAGTAACCACCACCAATCTCAGCTTGGCGGCACTTGGCTGCACGTTGACTGCTTTCGGCCGCTTGCAAGTGGGTCGCTGCTCGCATATGTTGGCCGCACATCCAAGTGCCTGCCGATTCTCTCGCATGGATTCTCGTTGGCTTCCTCCATTTCACTTTTTGGACCTCCAACAGTGGCGGTTTTAAGGAGCACCACCCGCAAATCGCAACTTTTGCAGGGGAAATCCAGTGACCCGTGTGACATCCAAGAAGAGGCCCATCCTTTCCCAGGTTGCAAGACGAATATTCCGCTGACCTGTGCGTCCGGCCACGGTTCGCTCGGCCTCGAATTTGACTTTCCAAATTTCCGGGAAAGAGGGCTGGGGCCTCGAAGACGCACTTGAGTTGGACTTGATGGTCGCTCTTTAGGCTTGGTGGCCATTTCAAGTGCGGTTTCTCATTGTTTGGCCCCTCCGTTCCAGCGGAAGTGAGTCCTCTTGCTTTTTTTTTTTTTTCGTGACAGGAGGACAAGAGATGGCGGGAGGAGCAGGAAAAGTCCAAGAAGTTCGGTACCAGTGGCAGGCGTATCTGGCATGTTTTGCCGTCCGCAGGCCATTGGTCTTTGGGCTGACGTACAGGGGGGATTCAAAGCGTTTGGGTGACGGCCCCTTTTTGCCCTGTCCAAGCAGGGGGAACCCCGCCATCTGCAAAATTTGGTGGTCCTTTTCTTAAAGAGCCAACATGCAACCTTGACTGTTCTGGTGGGTCGTCCCTTTCACACTTTCTGGTGGCTGAAATGGAGCGAGCCGTAGCCGTGCAAAGTACGTCTGTACGGTCCAGTCCGATTTGAATGATACGGTGAATCCTCGAGACATTGCAAGGGATCAATCCACAATTCACAAGACTCACCCAAGTTGCGGCAAGTTGCAGGGCTTCCATTGTTGCGGTACGTGCAATATTGGGGGTATCCACCGTAGGTTATGTCCTTGTGGATTTGCCTCCCAGGGCGGGTCCCACCCAATGTATTCAGTTTTCCAGAAACTTGCCTTTTTCCCGTTTCCTCTCATGTGGCTCTCTCTCGCTTGCATATGATGCAGAGGCTGAAGCTGTGATTAAATTTCTGAAGACACTGTTTTCCCCCTGTTGGTTTTAATGGTGAATCTATCACTACTGGACTGTTTTGTCCTCGGGGTATTTCAAATGGAGGGCCACTGACAATCCGGCTTTTTGCAGCCTGTTGTTGGCTTGGGGACGGAGGTTGGCTTGGGCGCATCAGACGCCCCCCAAAACCCCCCCAGAGCAGCCAATGTGCTCGTTGGGCAAAGTCATCCCGTGGTTTGCTCGCAGGAACGTGTGCGAGAAGACGCTGAATGCGCAGGGCTTCCCTATCATGGACGCTTCTGAAAAGCTGGAGGCCCCTTCCGGCTTTCAGCTTTCCCCTGCGAGGGGAGAGACCTCAATCCCCCAAACACCAAGGTCTTTTTGGCTTAGTGCCTATAAAATGGTTGTGTATCCCATTAACCCCCGACCGGGTACTAGTTTGAGGGTGGTTGTATGGCAACAGATACCCCAAAATCGGCATACAAAACTTGAAGTGAAACAACCACATTTTATGGGGTGAAATCCCCTACCTTAACATTAACCCCCAAGTGCAGCCACCATTTTAAGCTGTCCCCATAGGTGCCCTCCATTTCTATCCCAACAAAAAGACCTGTATCCCACTCAACTCCAAGGAACTCGCTTCGTTGCTTCGGTTTCTGCCCTGGGCCCCGCCCCACCCCTACCCCCACCCCCCCCCCTACCCACCCCCACCCCACGCCTTCCGCGCCTCCGACGGGTCCCGCGGGAAGGCGGAGATGAGTTGCCTGCCGCTGGACAGCGAGGCCCTGGGCCTCCTGCGCCGGCTGCGGCCCTCGGAGGCGCTGCAGGTGCTGCAGCAGGCGCTGGAAGCGGCGCTGGTCGTCGTCGTTTTTTTATCCCCTAGGTCCCCCAGCTAGGTGCCAACTTTACCGTTTCGTTTTTGGTTGGGAGGGGTCCCCTACTAAAATAGACGTCCCGAAAAAAAGTCGGGTACCCTTATTCTAACCTCTCTACTGGAGGACCTAGTCCCGTTTCAAGGAAACCCACTTAGTGGCGTGTCCGGTTTTGATGGGAGGGTATACTCTGTTTTTTTGTGGTTTTAAGGACAACCACTATTTTGGGGGGTCGTTGGGAGTGTCCTATGATTTTTTGGGTGGGTTGAAAAAGCAGATGGGGAATGAGGGTCTGTTTTTTGTTTGATTTGAGTTAGTACCCTTGTTTCTGCTTTTTAAAGGGAAGCCAAAAGAAAAGGAGAAGCATGATCTTGGGGGTCCCCGCAGGATTTCGTTCGTGCGGGGGTTCGACCAGCGTCGGGGCTCGTCTTTTTTGAGGCGAAAGGTACCCAGTGAGGGGGGGGGTGGTCATTGTAAAGGAAAAGGCAAAGAAAGGCCATGTTTTGAGGTAATTCTGAGCGCACTCCGCAACTTCCCGCAGTTTAAGATTCTCTTTTCGGGGGAAGACTCTAGTAGAAAACAAAGAGTTCTGCCTTCTTTTGGCCAATCTCCGGAAGTAGGGGACAAGGTAAGAAGCGGGGATCAAGAGCCCAAAGGCTCAAGGCAGAAAGCAAGAAATTGGTCTGGGCAGACTATGAGCTCTGGGGGTAAAATGAGCTCTCCCAAGAACGGAGGTTCCTTCTTGTGGCAGATGTTCCGCTTTTTTTGGGATTAATTGTTTCTCCGGGTTGGTGAATCATGGAACTTTGCCAAGATGAAGCCTCAGCCCAGCCCTGAGGAAACTCAGAGGACGCTTCTGGAGGAAGCTGGTACCAGGGAAAGCATAAAGGAAACCTTTGGCACCTTTTCAAACCAAAGGGCGCTTTTCAACCGAATCCGCCTGAAGGATCTGCCGAGAGGGTGCGTGCCTGCAGAAGCTTCGGCATTTCCATCCTCCTGCGTGCGAGGAAAACGGCGCCCAAGATGGGTGTGTCTTGTTTTTGGGGTTGGTACCCCGTTTACGGTGGCATTAAAGGAACACCAAGAGGAACACAATTCTTGAGGGTCCAACCTTAAAAAGACAGACCGAAATTGCGAAGACACCCAGAGGGTTTGGCAAATGTTGTTTCAACAAGCTGTGTTGGGCCCTGACTTCAACTTTAGGTTAGTTTGGTTGAAAACAGACGGGTTCCTTCCACTGGTTCCGATCATTTACGGGCCATAAATTTTCCCAAACGGCCACTCACGCACCCAACCCGGCCAATTTGGAGCCACCTCCCAAGTCACCCACGCCCAGATCTGCATTCGATCCGGATGTCAGGTGAGCATCCAAGGCATCAACAACAACATGTCGAGTTATATCAAGATCAAGGCCCGACTCGCTGTTTTCTTTTTTAGTATTAATATCTGATTTTCCTGTCGTAACTTCTCCAACTCCAAACTTTCACTGTTTGTTTTCTCAATTTCTCCCTCGCCTTCGTTTTGTTTTTGTTTTTTTTCCGGCTCGTGGCTTCCCCAACCCCAAACTTCCGCTGTCGGTTTCTTCTTCGGCTTCTCCCCGTTTTAGGTGTCCCTTCAAGACAAACTACTGAAACCAGGGTGCCAACTGACCTTTTAGCCAAGCTTGCACACCGATCTTTCAACCTGAGTCGAGTTCCCCAAATGTTAGCCCCTGCGCATATGGGTGTTCTTGTTTAAAATCCAAAGGAATCACAACCCAGTTTCGGGGTTCCCCTGGAGACAAACCCGTCCGGGGGTTCAATGGTGCAGAATTCATTCAATTGTTCCAAAAGAACAGTCGCAACGGGGATGAGCATTGCTTTAGTATGAGTATGAACGACACAATATTGCACCAGTCGGCATGAATGGAGCCCTGTAAATAGTCGGATGAATCACCTATTTTGTGCAGGATGTCGTTCACAGTATGGGTCGTTGCTGAAAAGGGACCTCTAAGAACGGCTTTCCTTATGCACCTTACGCCCACCAAATGCCCGCCTCCCTGTTTTGAGAAGGCTCCATATACCTGTAGTCTCCAGGACCCAAAATCAACATGGGCAAATCTTTTGACTTAGATGCCCGCTGTCTTGGGCATCGATTTTTGCTTAAGGGCCGGAGGGAGACTCCAAGCACCCAGATCATCCCTGCAGGTGAGATCAAAGCTCGGTGAGGCCGACAACACAGACGAGGAGTTTTGATGGGGGAGGAACGCCTGAACGCAAGCGAGGAGATGGCTTGGTATTGTCACCAGATACTGTTTCCTAGCCCATCCCTTGTTGTTTTTAGTCGGCTTTAGTTGGTTTAGCGTATCCAGCCTCGAGGCTGGTTATTTTGGTTATTTTTTTGGTTGGTTTGGTTTCCAGACGACGAAAAGGTATAGACTTTCCCAGTTTCGGAAGTGGCCTACGAGTCATAGAAAGGCAGCGGCGCCGAAGATGTGTTTTTCCCTCCTGGGATTCGATCTCGGGTGTGTTCTTCCCGGATCCCAGGCAGAGGTAACTCTTCGCCATCCTCTTGAAGACTTCAACGGGTGATGCAAATTGGTTCCCTATGGTAAATGGAATCACTGGGCTTTGCGCGACCCTTGTTTCAGGTATCCCTCAAGTGGTGGCTTGGATTGGTTTGGACCGTTCCTGAAGCCGGGGAAGGTATGGTGCAAACCACCGGGCTCCGAACCCATTTGAGGGAAGCTGAGAATGACGTTGCGGAATGCCCACGGAAGACTGGTTCTGTTTGAGACACTCCGGTACCTGGGGTTCAAAAACCCAGTTCCATTTCACCCCGCAAATCAGGGTGGGGAGTTGGGTTCAGGTCCACATCCATTTGTGGATTCTGGTTTGAGACACTACGATTCTCGGGGGCTTTGAACCTCAGCTCCATTTTTCTGAAAACTAGGGGGCAGTTTGAGGTCCAAACCAAGCCACGGGTGGAAGCCCGAAGGAAACCACATGAAACCATCCATTTTTGAAGTTCTCTTTTGAGGCGAAAAGGTAGTTGGAGGGGTGGAAAACAGGCAGCCATCCATTGTTGGGTTCTCTTCTGAGACCAAAAAGGTGGTTGAGGGGGCGTTTTCAGCCCGAGCTCCACAGGCAACCCTCCATTTTTGGGGTTCTCTTTGCTATTTTTGGGTTCTCTTCTTTAAGTCCTTCAAAGGTATTTTAGGGGGGTGTTTTCAACCCCAGCTCCATAGTCAGCTCCATGCGACCGACCAAATTGGTGAAATCTCCTCCTCCATCTTTGGTTTCTTTTTTTTCCACTTTTTTTTTGTTTCAAGGGTAGTTTCAAGGGTCATTCGGTTTCAAGGGTGTCTCTCTCTCTTTTTTTGCTTTGGTTTCTCTTTTCAAAGGTCATTTGGGGTTTGGACCCCCGGCTCCATGCGGCTCAGCCCGGAGTTGGGTGAACAATTCCTGGTGCTTCGGTCCGCGAGGAGCCCAAGATGCCGCAGCCGGTGCCCGCGAAGACCACGCCGCCGGCGAAGCCTGCGCCCGCGTCCACTTCAGAGAAGGCGGAGGCGCCCCGCTTGTGGTTTTTCTTTGTTTCTTTCTTTTTAGTTATAAATGTTTCTTTGCTTCTAGTTATAACTCTTGTTTTGTTTGTTTAGTCTTCTTTGTTTCGTTTGCGGTTCGAACCTGTTTAATTGCACGCACACACACACACACACACACACACACACACACACACACACACACACACACACACACACACACACACACACACACACACACACACACACACACACACACACACACACACACACACACACACACACACACACACACACACACACACACACACACACACACACACACACACACACACACACACACACACACACACACACACACACACACACACGCACCCGAACAGTGGAACCGGTCTGACCCTCTTTAGAGAAAATCCGGGGGGGTCTGGCAGGGACACAACTTCCAACAGCTTCGGGGTCTTTCCGGCCATTTTCTTTTTTGGCCCAGATTCCATTGAGTTTCCTTTTGGGCCGCTTTTTATGAAACTAGGGAACCCTGAAGAGGTTGTAGAATTGCTTTCCGGGATTTTGGCCCTTCAAAAAAGGGGGCAGCCTAAAACAAGGGATCACAGAAACCCAGCCTAAGGGGTCTCTCATGCTGTCAGTCTTTTAGCTCCCGGGTTTCTGTGTCCCCTTGCGCCAAAAAAGACATGGTACGAGAAGCAAAAAAACGGTCCAGGAGAAGCCGGAGAAGCTGGACGCAGTGATGGAGGAGTTGGGCGGCGCTGGCCTTTTTTTTCTTTTCCGGAGTTGTGAAGGGTACCCAATTCCTGGTTCCACCGAAATGCTTGACTGCTGTTGGGTTGGATCTTTAGACTTTAACTTTTTGGGTGAAATCAAGGGGGGTTTCCACTAAACCCGCAAAAAGCTGGACTTTTTGCCGAGGGGTCAACAGCAACCAAGAATGGCGTCTCTTCCAACACCCGATCGCCAGCTTCCATGATTGTTGGGAACCCACTCCGAAAAATAATGGGACGTCCGTCCTCTTGGTTTCCCTTTACTCACTTTCTGACTTCCGTTTCGGACTTTAGTCTTTTGGTTTGGACCATTTGAGTGGCAAACACACAGACTGACATATGATGAGATTTTTATTTTTTTTCGCCGATCCACTCCCTCGGAAGTGAGCTACAATAAACCCAGCTCAAAGGCTACCGGAGTCACAATCAAACCCGGGTAAGTGGAGGTTGGTAAGGGACGATCCCAACCAGAAATGGTTGCGGCCGCCTTAATTCTTTACATGGTTCTGGGTTAACAATTTGTGTGCCGGGTTTTGATTAGGACTCGACGGGGTAGCGACTCCAAAGCGGCTCTCTGGCTCTGCCATTGCCTCGGCGGATGCCTGTCGCTTCTGCGCCCGGAGGAGCCTCAAGAGGACGACTCCGAGGATGAGGACTTCGCCACTTGGCGGTTCGAGTGAGCGATTCGGTGGGCTTAGCTGCCTCGGGCAGCCGCACGGGGGCGGGTTTGCCTAGGTCCTTTCAAGTGGTTGCATTTGGGTATGTCTCAAAATAGGAGACGGACCCCCAGATCCAGGCGTTTTTTTTTTGTGATCGCCCTTGTTTGGTGGGGTTTAAAGGATCCAGAATGATTGCCCACCATTTTGGGGGTCTCAAGAATGACACACCCAGGAGCTCTATCACAATTCCAGAATTTCATTCGGCAAGTCGACCATCAAACACGTTGTTTTCCCTTTTGATTTCTAGGCTCCGAAAGGGGCCAGCAACGAGGAAGCTCCGGCCCAAAGATCAGAGCGTGGGGATTTTGATCAAGCCCTTTCCCACAAGCCCAATAGTTGCGAAGCGAAAAGGAGACGAAGCTTTTTTGTCGCCCCAGGTTAATGGGTCCAAAAGGTCAGCTGTTCCGACCAACGAACTCTGTCAGGTAGGAATACCTTTCAGCAGCATCCCGGAGTTGGGCGTTAGTCACTTTTTGGGTCACCATTTTCGGGCAAACAAACAGTTCAGACCATAGGTGTCGTTTTCGGTTGCTTTGGTAGAAAATTGATGGCCCTGCTTGTGGTTGTTTGAGAATCCAGGGCCGGCTAAGTTTCTATCAGCCAAAAATAATGTGTTTTTCTTGGGGGGTCCTAAATTGGCAGGCGGCTCCGATATGCCTGTTTAGGTTTGGGAGACCCCCCCCTCCCAAAAAAAAGCCTTCGGCTTCTTTTGAGACTGCAAAAAGGACAGCCTCAGAAAGAGACAGACCCTTCGGGTCTATCTTTTTGTAGGCGAAACCGAAATGGATGGTTTTTCTTTTGGTGTTCCTTGCAAACCACCAAAAATACAAAGACACCCATATATTATAGTGAAGGAAACTAAATGATCTTCAGCCTCGTCTTGTCGTTTTCTCTGTCTTTTCTTCCTTTTTATCTCTGTTTTTCTGCTTCCCTCTTTTTCTTATTCGTGGCCCATTTATGACACATCCTCTTCGCCATGTTTGTACCTCGAAACTCCGCCCCACGTCGTGTTTGTTTTCAGCCATGCGATCAGCGAGCGTAGCTCCGTGGCTCCTGATGAGTCTTTGGGGGGTGGTTACAAGCTACTTAGATAGGTTATAGTCAGTTGTAGCCATGTTTCTGGGGGTTGATTTTCAGCCATCGTGCTTTTCAAAAACCGGCTGTTTCCCCTGGGTTTTTGATGGTTTCCTGATAAGAAGGATTTCTGGAAAGAATGGGGAAGGTACCCTTAGAATGTTCTTATTTCTAGAGCTCCGTGTCGGAATTTAGACTTTTGGGGAGTTTAGTGGTAAACAAATAGTTCAGTTCCTGGACTTCCGACTTTTGGGGTTTGGACCATTTTAGTGGTAAAATAAACAGTTTGGAGGTATTTTGGCCCATCCACTCATGAAGTGAGTAAGTGAGTGCTTCTACGGGGACAGTTACCCCAGATACCCCAGCAACCCCAGATACCACAATTGTAAGCGGGGTACCTGGGGTTTCACGGCTTTGCTTCGCTTGAACACCCCGTTGCTCTGAGGACCTCTTGCCGGAGGAGAAGGCGCCGGCTTTGGGCCCGGGCTTCATCGAGGCCGGGCGCGCCGGGGCTCGGGTGCTTTGGTCGCTTCAAAAGAAGCCGAGAGGAATGCGACGTGCGCTGTGCGTTCCCCTTTTGGGTTTAAAGGGAATCGATTTGACTACTGGAAACATAGGTTGAAAAGGGGAAGTTCTGCAGAGAAAGGTTGAGTGGTGTCGGATGTTACCATGTTTGCTTCAGCCAGGATTGGACCTGGCCAGGTCCAGACAATCCGAGCCCTCCAAAATCGGTTTTCCAAAATCTTGTCAACGGCGACTTGGCTAACTAACTAGGTCCCCCAGTAATTAGTGCCCCTTTACCGTTTCTTTTTGGGGGAGGCTTCCCCTTCTAAAGCAGAAAGCAGAAGAAAGTTGGTACCCTTATTCTAACCTCTCTACTGGAGAACCTAGTTATTCAGGTTCCCCCCAGTTCCCGGGTACCCGCTTGGTCAGGCAGAGCCCACCGAGAAGCAGACGGAGGCTTTGGCCAAGTGGAAGCAGGAGGCGAACCTCGGCTGAAGAGAACCCAAAGTTGCAACCCGTGGCCCCCTTTCTTCTTCTTTTTTTTCATTAGTGTGTCAGTTTTGTTTCATCCATGTTTCATGTGTTTTTCATTACGTGCTCATTCTTTGTTCATTCTTTGTTCATCATTTTTTCATGATTGTTCATTATTTGTTCATTATGTGTTCACATGTTTTCCCATTTGTTGTTTTTTTTTTCCATTTTTCATTTTTTCAATTTTTGTGTGGGAAGGGTTCCCCTTCAAACTCAACCAAAACTCGCCGGTGGTTGGAAGGGTTCCCTTGAAACTCCTTCATTGATTGGAGATGTGAACCCCTGGCTCTTGAGGGTCAACGATTTCCCGGCAACTCCAAACCAATCTAAACCACGAAGCAACCTGCCCAACTTCCCCGGTGCCCCGCTCGAGAAGAAACAAGCGATTTTCCACTTTGTCTTGGAGCCCACGATTTATTTCGGCAAGGCACGGCTTGCAGACGTCTGGTACTACCAGACACGTTTTGGGACCAAGACGACCGCGCCCTTCGGGGTAAGCCGCACATCCGCCACTTAAGGCAGGACTCGCTGGAGGCGGGGGACGTGAAGACCGCCCTGGAGCGGTGCCTCGGCAAAGAGGTCGGAGGTTTGGAGTGGTTTGGAACTCCCCGAAGCCAACATATTCAGGGTTTGGTGGTTTGGATGGAAGTTAATTTCATGGCACTTAGCTGTCTATTCGTTCTGTTGAGCTGTCAGGGTTTTCATGTTGTAGCGGTTAGTTGAAAGGTGGAAAAGGTACAGAAGGAAACCGCTGGCGGCGGCAGCGGCAGCTGCAAGGTGCTCCCGGCTGCTTTGCTGCCTGCCGCTAGCAGTTGGTGGGCTCTCAAGTGTAAGCCCCTATTTGAAACCGCTGGCGGGCATCCTTCGTTACCCATTTGAACTTCCTTTTTTCCGGGCTGCTATCAAAGAAGGCCAACGGATTCAAATATGGGCGTCTGCATTCAGCCATTATTGCTGGACACTGATTTTTGAGCTCAACCCACTGCCATTTACGGCAACAGACCCAAAAAGGGCACGCTCTCTGACGGGGTAGCGCGGCATGCCGCTCATCAAAAAGCGGCCAGCTTCAAGCAACCAGGCCAGACCCCCCAATTAACTTTCAACATTCATCCTCTTCTAAAATTGAGGTGGCGCTATTCCAAGATGAAGAAAGTGAAGCTGGAGATCCTCCAAGCAGCCCTCGACCAGGCTTAAACATGATCAGAATCAGTTTGGTTCCCCTCAATTTGGCTGGCAGCTTACGTTTGATGTGTGAGCCTGCCCAGGCCCTCCAACAAGGAAGTTGAATCGACGGACAACTGATGATGATTCTGACTTTGCACCATATCCCCGTGCAACACCGCGCCCGCAGCGGCACAGTTGAACAGTTGAACATAGACTTGCTCACTGATAACTGGCCACAACTCGCTTCGACGCCAAGGCACGACCTCCCGGGCACTTTCTATGAGCTATTTGACTGGCCAAATGTGATGCTCAAACAGTTTGAGAGTCTTGGCTAACTTTGGAGTTGCGCAGCTTCTGTGCGAATCAAACCCTTGCTCACCAGGTCAATATTAGGAGCATCTTTCATGGCGAGCAAGCTGGCCAACACACCAGTAGCTATGGACACATGGTTTACTGGCATTGACTGCGCAGCTGCCGCGATTGACCGGCTCATTCTTTGCGGCTGGGTCAACCTCTTTTCTGACAACCTCAGGGGCTGGACAGTCATGTTTATGAGGGGTCTGCTTGCAAGAGAATGGGACTGCGCACCTTCGTGTCTGCCTTTTCCTCCTTCTCCAGCTTTACGTTTCCCTCTTCGCCGGGATCGTGCTTCACCTTGGATTCAAGAGCCTCCTTCACGCTGGCCACACAGGCCCGAAGCATGGGAGACTCCATGACCCCCAACGCAGGCTTGGGCCGCACGCCTGGGACGGGGCGTGGAAAATCGGCGTGGGTCAAAGTAGTACTCAAAGAAAATCGGCGTGGGTCAGGCTGGGGCTAAACCAAATCAGCGTAGTTGGCGGTCAAATGCCATCAACATCAGCGCAGGTGATAGTTGAACAACGGCAATGCCTCGTCCCTCGCTTACACTTTGGGGAGCGCTTGGCCTGGCTGTTTCCAAGTAAAGCCTCATACTCGAAGATTGTCGGTCCACCGATTTTCTGAAGCAAAGTCCTCACAGAAATCGGTGGGGTTCGGGTGCCGAACAACGCCGAATTTGCTTTAGCCAACCCCCCCTACAGCGATTTTGCACTTTTGGCCGTGTAATCTTTTCAGCGTGGGCATATAAACCTGAATGAAAATCAGTGGGGTTCAGCACCCGAACAACGCCGATTTCTGACATCATGTTGTTGAAAAAAATCACTGGACTGACATCTACGATCTTTCCAAAATCAGTGTGGTTCAGCGCCCGAGACACGACGATTTAACCGTTGTTCAACCATCACCTACGCTGATGTTGATGGCATTTGACCGCCACCTACGCTGATTTGGTTTGGCCCCAGCCTGACCCACGCCGATTTTCTTGGAGTACTACTTTGACCCACGCCGATTTTCCACGCCCCGTGCCAGGCCTGCGTTGGGGGTCATGGAGTCTCCCATGCTTCGGGCCTGTGTGGCCAGCGTGAAGGAGGCTCAAGCAGACCCCTCATAAACATGACTGTCCAGCCCCTGAGGTTGTCAGAAAAGAGGTTGACCCAGCCGCAAAGAATGAGCCGGTCAATCGCGGCAGCTGCGCAGTCAATGCCAGTAAACCGTGTGTCCATAGCTACTGGTGTGTTGGCCAGCTTGCTCGCCATGAAAGATGCTCCTAATATTGACCTGGTGAGCAAGGGTTTGATTTGCACAGAAGCTGCGCAACTCCAAAGTTAGCCAAGACTCTCAAACTGTTTGAGCATCACATTTGGCCAGTCAAATAGCTCATAGAAAGTGCCCGGCAGGTCGTTCCTTGGCGTCGAAGCGAGTTGTAGCTAGTTACCAGTGAGCAACTGTGCCGCTGCGGGCGCGGTTGCCCGGGGATATGGTGCAAAGTCAGAACCATCATCAGTTGTCCGTCGCTTCAACTTCCTTGCTGGAGGGCCTGGGCAGGCTCACACATCAAACGTAAGCTGCCAGCCAAATTGAGAGGAATCAGACTGATCATGTTTAAGCCTGGTCGAGGGCTGCTTGGAGGATCTCCAGCTTCACTTTCTTCATCTTGGAATAGCGCCACCTCAATTTTAGAATTTTAGAAGAGGAGAAATGTTGAAAGGTAATTGAAGGGTCTGGCCTGGTTGCTTGAAGCTGGCCGCTTTTTGATGAGCGGCATGCCGCGCTACCCCATCAGAGAACGTGCCCTTTTTGGGTCTGTTGCCGTAAATGGCAGTGGGTTGAGCTCAAAAATCAGTGTCCAGCAATAATGGCTGAATGCAGACGCCCATATTTGAATCCGTTGGCCTTCTTTGATAGCAGCCCGGGAAAAAAGAAGTTCAAATGGGTAACGAAGGGTGCCCGCCAGCGGTTTCAAATAGGGGCTTACACTTGAGAGCCCACCAACTGCTAGCGGCAGGCAGCAAAGCAGCCGGGAGCACCTTGCAGCTGCCGCTGCCGCCGCCAGCGGTTTCCTTCTGTACCTTGTCCACCTTTCAACTAACCGCTACAACATGAAAACCCTGACAGCAAAACAGAACGAATAGGCAGCCAAGTGCCATGAATTTAACTTATGGGTGGCTTGGGGGTTTGAACGCGCAAATGGGAAACATTGGGAAAAAAGGCCAAACCAGCAGTCAGCCAGTCCCTATACTCAGCTTTAGTTGGTGGTTGGGGGATTCCGACTCTTTTCTTGTAGGTGAGTGGGCAACTCCCTGACACCTCCAAACCACCGAATCGGCTCAAAGAGGGATGCAGAATTTCTGCTAGAGGAAACCCACCACTTGCCACTTGGAAGATGCCAATTTGGTTCCATTTGCTGAAACTGCCATCCCCTGTTGGCAGTAAAGGGAAATTACCACTACTGGATTTGTTTTGTTCCCTTTGAGGGGACATAAGGGAATGAGGTGTTTTCTTGCTTAGCACCGGCTTGCACCGGCTTGGGCCGGCGGCAGTGGCTTTGAGGCTTCGGCGAAGGCGGGTTGGTCGGCTGGATGCGAACGGTGGGCTTTGTCTGGGCTTGGTGAGGGAAGTTCTTGGGGCTTGGGGTTGACTGGAGGGCTGGCTTGGGCCGCTCAGGCTTGGTTTCGGGCGGAGTCAGGGCGTTCAGGCGACTATTTGGGAAGGTGCAGGGGTTGCTTTGGGGCCAGACTACTGTTCCAAGAATCGTGGAAGCTGACAGGGTTCCTGTGCACTTCCATGATTCTTCTGGGCAAGTTATAACAACGGCACTCGGGGTTTTGGGGCAGCCCTGAAGGTGTCTTTCATCGGGATCCTGTATGCTCGCTTGGTGAATTATCATATTTGGTCCAAGCCTCGTTTTCCAGGGGGTTGTTATGCAAACTAAGCTGAACAGGTTCCCTCGTAAACACCCTCACCCATACTGTTTTTTTCTTTTTTTGGAGGGCACCCTGTCTGGTGGTTTTAAAGGCAAGCAAAGAGGAGAAAGCTACCTTCTTCCTCTTCTTTTTTTTTTGGGGGGGGGTCCCCTAAACAACGCACACCCATGTGACCCATGTGTATGGATGATCGTTGGAACATTTGCCCGCCGGCTTCTCGACCGAGGCTCACGGAAGTGGTGGAGGGCGGTGGCGCCACCGCCCTGATGCTCACCAAACGAGGCTTGGGGCTTTTTTGTTATCATTTATTTATTGTTTCATGTATTTATTTATTTTTATTATTATTGTTGTCCGCAGTATTATTACTATTATTATTATTATTAATTATTATTATTCTTATTATTATCGGTTTTTCGGCGTTCAAAATGACTTGGCAGGGATGAGTGTTGCAGGTGCTGTGGATGGTTGCGAAATCCCTTCGCGCCACAAAATGAAACCACTGTTTGTTTGTGTTTACACGGGAATCGAATCATTCCCTTGGGTTTCTGAACGATGGTGCGAACGGATTTCGCAACGATTCACAGACATTCTGGAGGCAGATATAGCACTTGATATGTTTTTTTGTTTTGTGCTTAAAAGTAATACATAACCTCCATACTGTGGATGGACGAAATCCTGCACAACCAAAGAAACCCTGAAATTTCCCTGCAAATGCCAACAATGAAAGTTTTGCCATGTTCTTAGATGGTGCGAAATGGACTTCGTCCATCCACAGTAGCTCGAACACCCAGCTCTGAAAAGTCCCCATTTCTCGTTGTGCTAGGCTCTCAGGTTCTCCCCATTCTCCTTACCCATTCTCAATAGAGAAGCCCCACATTTTGCAACCGGGGTTTGGGTTGCCTTTGTCTTGAAGCAATCCCCGAAAGAGGAGACTCCGCGCCATTGTTTTTGGCAGGGGTTTGGTCAATTGTTTCTCGAAGAAAAGGGAAGTGATGGGAGCGTGAGGTAACGCAAAAACACCGGTCAACATGTCCTTGTTTCAAGATCTTGTGTCTAACTTGAGGGTTTCCGCAGCGGCAGAGTTTGGGCTTCGTACCTTTGAGATAAAAGGAGAAAACAAGAACTTGCCCCCCGTCTTGCAAGAGGGTTCCTACACGTTGCATCTGGGAGAAAGTGGCTGGCGCAGTTTCGATCCCCCCCCATTTTTGGCTTCATCCTCCTATCCGACAGAACAGAGACAAAAACACACATGCACACACACGCACAAACACACACACACACACACACATGTGCCATCTACGTTCATGCGTCGGTCCAAGAAGCAAATCTCGAGGTGAGATCTTGCTCAAGGAGCGCAGACCGCTGGCTGCCATCAAGGACAGATCACAAGAGGTGTCCTATTCGGGGTTAGTTCGGAACACGGGTGTGACGAAGAAGGGACCTGGACATGTTGATGTTTCCCCTTTGGTTCTCCTTGGTACTTATTAAAGCAACCTCACAAAAGGGTACTCTCAAAAATAGATAGAGCCAGATGTCAATTGTTTCACTTTGGCATCAGTTTGGTTTCCAGTGCCATCTACTTGCCCCAAAGACACCCAGCACTCTAGGTGTTGCTTGGAACAGAGAGTTCGGCCAAGGAAGTCCCATCAATGTGCACGCATACCGCTTAGAAAAGCTCACTCGGGGGGCAGGACAAATTGCTCTAGCGGCATGTTTTTCTTTTTCTCTTCGGTTGGTGAATGAGTGAGTCCGACTGGCCCTGCCCGGAACACGCCTTCCCCGGAAACACGGCCTGGGCGGACCCGCCCTGGTTCATCTCAACTCGTGCGGGCGGCGAGAGTGACCGCCTGCCTGGCTGGCTGGCTGGCTGGCTGTTTGTCTGTCTGCCTGCCTGCCTGCTTCAAGTTCAAACTCTAGTTTTATGGAGACCGAATACCCATGGTACTTGTCGTGCCTTTGGCGGACAATTGTCCAGAAATCAAGAGAAGGTTGATGCTCATGTCATCCAGAAGTTGCAGATAGTTCGGATAATCAGGGTTTAATATTTTCCCTTTCGGGAATCTCTGCATGCATGGAGTGGGTTCCTGCACTCAGCCTTTGAGGGATATTTCGGATCAGTTGTCTGATCCCGCTTTCAAAAAAAGGAGATACATCAACTTGGTGGTTTCCAGTTCCTTAGGTTTCCAGCTCTTTAGGTTTTAGTGGTTTCCACTCAACTAAACCCACTAAAAGTTGAAACTTTTAGCGTCAGTCTGGACAGGGAGTTCCAAACAAATCTACTGGTGACTTGTTGGACCCATCCTGGGGACCCTGAAGATGGCATACTTTTGTTGCTTTCTGACCCCTGATTGCCAACCCCCGAGGTAGTGTGTTTCAAGGGGTCACGCAATCCGATTCCTAGAGTAGCTACCGAAAAGAGGGTCGACATTGCGACAGTTCTCATACTCAGTTGTTCAAAGCGAATCGACCTTGTGACCTTTCGGCTTTCCCAGTTTGGTCCATTTTTAGTCGGGGTCCCAGAAGGTGATCACCTTTTATTGACGGGTCCTTTGGGCAAGTGAGCATATACTTTGGGCTTTGGGGGCCAAAACGCAATGACACTTCTCTGGTTGTGTCAGAAACTGGGGTTGCTGTCCTTTTTGCCAACCACTTAGGTGACTTTGGCACTGATTAAGTCCAGTTTGGGGTTAGACTATTAGATGGAGTTGGTTTTCTGATGCAAGGATCCCTGGAAAGAATGGGGAAGTTACCCCTAGAACAATCAGAAAGCACATGGACCCCTTGTGGACCATTCATTTTCGTGGGACATCTCCAGCGTCTGTGTCAAAATACTTGAATTTGCTGAAGCAAAGATGTGTTATTTTCAATTGATTTTTCATGGGAATAGGTTCCTCTTTACCCAAAGGGTATATACCCTGAAAGAAGCACAGCCCCCCATATGGCCGTGTGTCACACCAATGGTACCATTTTGGGCTAGGTGCACCACCTATTTTAGTCCATTTTAGTGGGAATTGTGACGTTCACTGGAGGTACGGGTTTTGACCCATTGCCATATGTGGTAACTGTACCTATTGGTTGGGAAGCCCTCGAAATTCGTGGGCTATCCGCTTGCCGCGCGAGGATTGCTCCAAGGCCTTGGAGCTGAATCCGGACCTGGGCAAGGCGCGCTAACAAATGGAGTCACGTACACATAGAATATATATATATATATATATGTATGTATGTGTAATATGTACTTAAATATATATATATATATATATATACACATATATATATATATAGGTATATATATATTGTATATCATGGGCACCACGCGCAGCTCTTTGGCTACAACATATGCTACACAACTAGTTCATGGGCAGTTGCGTGCAAAGGGAATCCATGGTTCAGCTGGGTGAAATCTTATGATTTGCTCGGATGAGCAGCTGATTGCCACCGTGAGAAAGACCACAAGCGATAGCCGTGAACCTGCAAAACTGAGAATTGTCCCACCCAAACCCAACACCCTTTGTTGGAAGACAAGTTTCCTCTAGCCAGCAATTTGTTTCACGTGTTCAAGGCACGGGCTCACTTTGCCCATCCCACCCAAACCCGATATCATCATATTGTCCAAGTCATGGTTTGATGCCATCTGACATCTTAGCCCTTGACTAAAACAATGGCATACAGATTTGGCTATGAGTTTGAAGAGTTGGAATCCCCTCCAAAGTTGTTGAACGCAATTTAGGTGGCTTGAAACATCATCTTGGCCCAATTCAAAGCCCCCCCCCCCCCCGCCAAAACAATGAAAGGACATCTCGGCCCATCCAACCGGTCCACCCAAAAACAAACACATCCTGGCTTTTGGCCCAATTGAACAGGCCCTCTCCCCCAAACACAATAAATGAGAGAAAACACCATCCCAGCGTTCCCTCCCCCTCAAAAAAAATACAAAGAAAAGAACAGCAGAGCAAATAGCTTTCCCTCCCCCCTCAAAAAAAACAAGAAAAGAACAGCAGAATCAATAAATAAAAAGAAGCACCGTTGCATTCATCCCCCGGTCCCGTTTCAGTTGAAACCCTCCAGGCCTACCGCATCCGCGGCATCGCGCTCCGAAAGCTGGGGAAGTACAAGGACGCCAAGTCTGACCTCGCCCAGGCGCCGGCTTCGCTTTGTCTGTAGGTTTTAGGTCTTTGGGGTCTGGCTGACCCCTTGAAAGCAAAAACCCTCATGGTTGAAGTGGTCTTCATGACCCTGAAAAGTTTTTTTTTTCTTGGTAGGGGTGGGGGGCCCTTTCTCACCCCTTTTTTGGTTGGGAGGATTCCCCTACGAAAATAGACAAAAACGAAACAAGTTATTTTAAGCTCTCTACTGGACCTAGTTCAGCTTCTCTCTTGGTGGCTTGGAGCCCGGGAACTGGATTTGGCTTTGGAGGGGAAAATGTGGGACACCACCCCCAAACGAACAAAAACCAATCCAGGGAAGAAACATAGGACCCATGGATTAATCAGTCCGGGGCGCCCCAAACAACTTTTGGAGACCAAAAATGGGTACCCTTATTCAGGGCTCCTTAAAAGATACATGTTGCAACCATTTGAAACGACGTGGCTTTTTCAACAAAATAAAGTTGGAAACCACCATTTACAAGTTGCAATGTTCAGGTATATATAATGCCTCCGGATCCCTGTTATTCTAACCTCTCTGGAGGACCTAGGGGTGTTGATGGACCCTTGAGAATGTCCCACGCCCTGAGGCTCAGCACCTGGACTTCGATGAAGGCGTCAGCATCATCGAGAAGTTCGTGAGCGAGAAGGCGCGCTTGACCCATGCCCGGGGCTACCTGGAGTCTCCATAGGTCATCACCCAAAATCAAGGGGTCAAATGGGCCCATATTTAGAAAAAAAACAAAAACGTGGCGACTCCAGGTAATTAGTTGGGCACGCATTGTTTGCAGGCCGAGCCTTTTTGGGTGGTTGCTTAAAGGGAAACAAACAGTTCTACGATCGCAATCCTGATTCCCAGGAATGGCACTTCCTGGAGTCTCCTTGACCCTGAAACAATGGTTGGTCACCCAAAATCAAGCAGTCCAATGGGCCCATATTTTTTAAGGGTCACGGAGACTCCAGGTAGTTGGGCAAGCATTGTTCGCCCTTTTCGGGGTTGCTTGAAAGTTGAAAACCACCAGTTCGACGAAGCGCAATCCGTCCCAGGAATGGCAATCCTGTATGTGAATTTCTGTGTGGCAATCCTTGGCTTTGTGTTGCAACCTGCATCTCCCCTCATCCTTATCATGGCTTCTGCAAAGGGATCGATTGCAGCGGTTTCCCTATGAGGATTCGATTAAGGTTTTAAAATTCCATGGTTTTATGTCGGTTTTCCTTGAAACCAACTCATTTTCAGGGTACAACCAGGCGCTCTTTATGAGGATTCGATTGGGGAAGGTTTTAAATTCGGTTTCATGTTGGTACTCCTTGAAAGCGACGTAACATCACCGATCGCTTCGAACTGATTCGAGGTTGCAAACCTGTTCGAACGTCGTGATTCGAGGGGTGAGGCGTGGTGAAGCTTCCTTTCCTTTGGGGTGTTATGTCTGTTTATCGGTTTTGGGAACTCCCATATATACAGTTCTGTGGTCGTGCGGAGCTCCACCATTCGATTGACCTCGCCCAAATTCGAGCCACGTACCGTCAATAGAGGTGTGGAAAACTCGAGTGTGATTACCTGCTGGATTCAGTGTATATTCCTTTGCCACCATGTTTGGTTCTGGCTCGGGTTGTAGTCAAGGACCATATTTCCGGGCAAATACATTCGCGACCTTACAATGGTTTTCAATTTGCGACGTCGCACATGATGTTTGGGGGGAAGACCCACGTAGGTTTTCTCTCTTGTCTTTTCTTTCATTTGCCAAGGCCTCAAAGGGTCAAAACGTTTTTTGCACGTGAGTTGGTTCTGTAGATTTATCTCTCATAGCATAGCTTTCTCTCAGGTCCGTTTGGACGAGCGTCGTCGCAAGAGGCACAGGGCCAGATGGGAAGCTGTCAAGGTATGCGAGCGTGTCCTAAAATATGGGGACCCCAAGCAAATTGCGGTTTTCCTGTTGTTTCCCTTTAAACCAGCCCAAAAAGAGGACCCTTAAAAAAGACGCCCCCATGTCAACGTCAAAACGTTGCAAACCCTTTGCATGGACTCTCTGGAGGGGCTTGGATCCTTGCAGGCTACTTACTGCACACAAGCGCGTTTTGAGAGCCCAAGATATTCTCCCAGTCTCTTCACCTTGTGTTTCCTCTGTGTGGGGTTCCGGTATTTTTCCCTTCGGGATGCATGTAGACAGTTGTTGTTGTTCATGCGCCTGCCGAATAATTCGGGCGTGTGAACACGTGATTCTTTCATGCTAAGCCGCGTTAGGCCCCCTTTTTGGAGGATATTGTCCATAGGTGCCCTTTCTAGGTTACTTTCTATCGTAGTTTGGTTGGAAAGAGGTGGCACTGGTTTAATTAGATGGTTTTATGCCATTTACCAGGGCCTTCATTTGTTCCAAAAGGTCACCTAGGTCACCTATGATCTTGGCAAACTATTTTGATTACGGATACATCTCCTTAAGAGCACTGCAGAGTCGCTTCTACAGCTACACATACACACACTTGCATATCACAGCAAAACGGCATTTATCGTAAGTTTTGAGCCGCGGCCTACAAAGAGCCAAGCTATGTGACTATGTCAACCTCGGATTGATCAGAATGTGATACTTCTCTCCTGTAACAAAGGGGTCCCCGAACATGACATCCTCTAAAAACCGATGGGTTTTCGGGTTCCATGTCAATCTGCAGGAGTGTGATCTAAATGATGTAGTGCATCATAGATGGGATCAGCACGAGGTGGCTCTCTGAAATTCGCCTAAGGGTTTGTTGTGTACCATTTGCGGGGGCTGCAAAGGGCACAGCGGCACAGCGAAGTCAAAGCCATTTGTTGGGATTTTCCCGTGCCTTCCCACCAACTACGAAACATGAAAAGTGACGACGCGGGGGGCGATGTTCCTCGAGAGACCTTCTGTCAGCTTCAGTTTAGGGGTGAGAGTTGAGTTTTCGCTGCGGCAAGAAGCCCTTGTGCTCAAATGCTGGTTATTGAGTACGGCTCCTCTTGTAGCACTCTTTGAGGAACGTATCCACAGGTGGGGGTTTGTGAACGCGCATCCATTGATGAACAAAAACAGAAGGGATGCTAGAAATGACTTGAGTCACCTTTGGGTTTGTACCATCTTAGGGGCAAGCAGGAAGCTTTTTAGACTGTTGGCCAATCCGCTTAGGAACTGAATTAAACTGGGGCATCCTCCCAAAATATGCTATGGGAGGACCAAATACCCTTCCTCCCACTAACATGGCACCTGTGGGGAGGCACTTGGGAGTTCATTTTGCTCTTGGTGGGACCCCCTGTGAGGTGCCACGTTAGTAGGAGAGAGGGTATGCGTTCTCTTGGTGGCTCCCAGCCATCCTTTGCTTTTTAGCCTTCTAGTGTTTAGTGGTAGTTTCCATTTAACCCACTCAAAGTTACTCACTTTTAGCGGGGGATCTGAGGACAGCCCAGTTCTGCTGTCCCATCGCTCAGAAGTGGGACCAGGTCCCCCAGTAGTGCCCTTTTGCCCTTGTTTGGGGGAGGGTTCCCCTACCACAATAGACAAAACCGAAAAAAGTTGGTACCCCTATTCTAACCTCTCTACTGGAGGACTTAGGGGAGGAACAAAGGCCAAAGTCGAAACTCGCACTCTGACCACTTGCCAGGCAGAGGACCCAGTGACGCCTCACGACTCGCCCACGCGTGAGGCGAACAGAAAACGCGATCCCCGCTTCCGCCCGGGTGCTCACTCCCTTTGGCAAATGGGTATGGCTCAAAATTAAATAGGAGGGGTTACGCAGGTTTTGGTCCATATTTCCACTTACCAGGGTTCCATTTTGGGTACCGGTTTTTTGGGCCACAGCCAAATCCCCGGTGGGATCACTTTGTGGGACCGCTTTTTGAAGAGATACGTGGTGAGGTTCACTCAACTTGGTGGTTCCCAGGCATCTGGTTCCTTTGGTGTTTGTTTGTTGTTGTTTTTGTTCTTCTTTCTTTTATTATTATTAGTATTATTATTATTATGTCTTTGGGGTTTAGTTGATTGTGGTTGATGGTTTTGTTGTTTTATTGGTTGGGGGGGGTCCATCCCCTTAGTGTTTTTCATCCCCTTAGTGTTTTTTGTTTTTTTCTTTCGGGTTTAGTGGGGGTGTCCATTGAACCGGCTAAAGTTGAGCTTTTAGCAAGCTGAAAACGGACAGCCCTCCGATGGCGGAAACCCTCCGATGGCTCCGGCGTAAAGTTAAGCCTATGGCTGGCCTGGTGCACTGGTCTGATGGTTTGTGCCCTTTACATGGTTGTTGTTGGGAAACATTTTACATTTTGCTTATTGTGGTTTAGTGGGAAATCCCAACTTAACTGCTAAATTTTATTTTTTGCTCCCCTTTCAACGTCAACCAAGTTTATTTGGGTGAATTATGACGACCGAATTCACCCCAAAATGGTGGTTTATGTGGGGAATTTCGCCCGCTAACCACCGCAAGTTTCAGGTTGGTGAAATATGATAATTCACCTAGATTTTATGGTTCCGTCCAGGTGCGTTTCAGGGTATTTGTTTGATTTGCCCCTCTTGGAAAACAAATTTCAGGTTTGGACATGTTTATATTTATTTTATTTTACAGCCCCCACTAAGAATGAAGAGAATCAAAGAACTACAAAACAAACGACGAACAGTGAAGACATTGACCGTTGCTTGTTTCCACATTCTGAGTGGCGCATGTTGCGTATTTTGAGCATCTGGCAAGCGAATCGAATCCAGATATGCGGCTTGCCCTCCCAAACCAACCCCCAAACCAAATCTGAGCCTCAAAATGTCCCCCCCCCAGCGTGGTAGAATTTCTGAATGATGCAAGCACAAGCCCTTCACACTACGTGCTCCTATGAAAACTGACGAAGTTTGCAGGCCCATGTTCGGCATTTGTTTGTTACCGGGGACCTCGAAAAAGCGGGAGAGCTGGAGGGTCCAATCGTCCTTGGACATGTAACCTTTGGTGCATTTTGCTTGGCTGTTAGGACTTTAACCTTTTGCCCACTAATGGGTTTTCCACTAAACCACTACCAGTTAAGCTTTTAGCAGGGGAGCAGAAAGCAACCGAGTAACATTATCCCTAATGGGATTTCCAGCAATAATGCGTAAAATACTGGACAAAAGAGCTTCGCCCTGACGCAACCTTTTGATACCGGCGATACAGAAAGAGACAAGAGCAAAGAAAGCAGACTGCGAGCACCACACACCAAAGCTGGAAACAACCCGGAAGGAGCAGCGGCAGACGACGAGACAAAAACTTTGGTCGATTCTGGATGGCACAAACTCCCCCCGAGCAAGAACACTTTATGTGCCGCTTCTTTTCCTGGAGAAAGATATTAATGTTTCCGAAAAGTTCAAGTCTGAAGATCCAACCAAATAGCAGCCAAGCAACCATTGTTTCAACGGTTGGAATTCCAGTTGATCTTGCCAAACCACAACATCATACCCACCGGAAATAAGGGACCCCCTACAAAAGGAGCCACTATGGGTGACGTCGCTCAAGTACATATGTTTTTGTTTCGCAAGATGTGGGCCAAGAGATGTTTGTCATCGCACCAGACTTTGGCAAGATCATTGCCAGCCAAGCATGAACCAGAAAACCACCAATATGTGTTTGAATATCCGTTGGTTCAGCCCCTTGTTGGGGTCCTTCCTTGAAAAACGCGCTCGGATATTCAAAGCAACATGTGACAAGAGGGACCGCGAATGGCTATCTTTGTGTTAGTCGCTGTTCATGATTCAACATGAACCAACCGGCGATCCCTAGCTTCCCCACGTACCCGGGGAGTCTTCGTGATCCTTGAAAAGTGGGGTCATGACCCCTTCGTTTCGGGTGATGAGCCCATGGTTTAAGGGTCATGAAGACTTCAGGTACTTCTGGATCCCCCAAGATTGGCAACGCTGCTTTTCTGAACCCGCACACGCAAGTGAGTCCCCGGGCGCGAGGTATCTTATTTCAGGCCGCCGGGTTTCACCGACCGGACGCGTTCGCCGCTGACACCTCACCGTGCCGGATGCACTCGAATCCGTCGGTGCGGAAAAAGAAAAGGTTGAAGCGAAGAGCTGACCGGGCCGGCCGAGTGGAGATTGGGGGGGGGGGGGGTTGGGGGTGTGGGTATCCTCTAGCCTCCTCTCCCTGAGTGCCATAAGGACAACACTTGAAGTCATGCGCTCATTTTTTGTAAATGAGGTTCTTACAGAATGTGTTAACCCCGGTGAGAGGGTGGCTGGCTCGGGATATCCCCAATATGTTAAAGCTCCTGTCTAAAGATTTGTTTGGCTTTCCTTCAAGAGGCCCAGCTTGGAACTGAAAGGACCGGGTCCATTCAAGTGACATCCCCCCAAAGTATCCTGCAAGATGGTTTAGTTGGAGGTTTCCGCCCCCAAAAGTAATTTGGAGAATCCCTCAAAATGTATAGTTGAGTAATAGGAGATGGCACAAATTTCTCCACTTGCCAGGAAATTGTGCCAACTTGTTTTTGTCAGAGCGGGCAGCTTAGATACAATTTGGCTACTTAAACCACCTTTTCCGTATATACTTTTTTTTTCAGGTACTGTGGATGGCCAAACACCTCCACCACCGTTCAGAAACCCAACGGGAATCATTCGATTCCCCTGTAAATACCAAAGCAAGCAATGGCTGCAATGGTGGCGATGGGATGGATTTCGGGTCCATCCACAGTCTGTTCTGCGCCTGGCGAAGGGGTTAATGTCGTCCCGATTTAGTCATGGCTCCTGAAGTTGCTCCAGTCCTTTTTAGGGTGCCGCCGTGAGAAAAACGGGGGACTCTCTGAGAACTTCGCTGGGTTCCACAACTTGAGGATTCTATTTGGGGAGTTGTCCCACCCAAATTGGCGCACCTTGAGAATGAAACAAATCCAACTCAAACATGGGGTATTGCCCACTCCCACAAGAGTATCCACCTGGAGCCTCCAAATTCCAACTCTAAAACATGGTTTGCCTTTTCCACTGTTTCTGGGATAAATAAGCAGCCCTGGTAGTGCAGAAACCCTTTTCAAGGGAGGCTCTTCATTTCATTGGAAAAGGCAAACCCTGTTCTTTTCATGGGTTATTGTCCAGATCCGAAGCACCCATCGATTTCCTAAGAGCCCCTTCTGAGCGGAGCGTTTCGGTCCGCAGGGCCTGGGCAGGGTTTAGGTTCAGCCAGAAATGGGCTTCGGCGAAACGTGTTTTCATTCCTTAGGTGGGTGTGGCTCAAAATTAAAGACCTAGGGTTACGCAGGTTTTGCTGTTAGTGTCCATTTAGCAAGGTGTCATTTTGGTACATGTCTTGAGCCACAGCCACATGATTCTAGATAGACCATCGCTTGATTGCGAGTGGGTAACGGATCTTTAGACTTTGACCTTTTGGGAAATCAAGGGGCTTCTCCGAATTGAACCTACATAAAGTTAAACACTTTGTGCAGAGGGGTCGTTGCAGCCACCAGATTTGAATACCAGGTTTTGGGTATGACTGATTTGGGGTTTGTTTCAAAAACTGGGACCAACATCTTTGGGGGTTTTACTTGGCTTACCTTTTCAACCCCAAAAACTTGAGCCCGTGGCAGTATGACTCGGGGCTTTCCCCAGTTTCGCTTTGCCCGCAGTCCCTGAGCGACGGCGAGCCTGACTACAGCTCCAGCTTCGCTCCGCGCGCAGGCGCTGGGCAAGAGGGCGCAGTTCAAGGCGCCCAAGACATGAACGGGTAAACGTGGACCCTCAGACTACCTATAAGAAAGGGACTTCGCCCGACCAGTTTGAGCCTACAGCCAATTTGTATGGGGACTTGGTGGGTCCAGGTCACCATTTTCGTCAGCTGGTTTCAGGGTGAGAGGCCTACCATAGAACCAAAAGTGAACTTGGGTTTGGGGCGCAGCCGCTAGGATTCTATGTTACACGGACTTACACTCGGTGGCATCGGGTGGTTTCCCCAAAAGGGATCCAGGGTGGCTGGTGTGTTTTTCAGCCAACAGCTGAAAAGCCTTGCCTTGGATTTTGCTGACCCTGCAACTTGGATTGGCTTCTTTTGCTATATGGCTATGAATAGGGAACCCCCTCCACAGCGGTTGGTGAACACATGATGTCCACCTAAATGATGTCCACCAAAGGGTCCCTAGTTAAAATTCAGGCCAGGTCAAAGAAAAAACGCCGCCCGAAAAAACCCGCAGGTTTGAGTCAGTGTTTCCATTTACCCGGGCAACCCATTTTGGGGACCCAATTCTTGACCCAACCCCATCTCCGAATTGGGCCCCAGGAGTTGGCCCCGAGTCCTCTGCCAGGCTATCCATCGGCCACCTCCACCTTTGTGGTGCGAGAGCAGGCGGGAGCTTCGGAGAAAAGCGTCAGAACCGATGCGCCCGCTCTGAAGGATTCAAGAAGCATGCGTTTTCAACGAATCAGGATGTAAGTGGGCCCGAAGGGAAATCAATTGACTTTTTGTGTGGGGGGATGGATGACCCGGTGAGTAAGGCAAGGGGCAGCAGCCAGAAATAGTTTCCGGGACATGGGTGAACTCACTACAGTTCCCATGAAATTATGCACTCACAAATTGTCCCATGGGTAAGTGAAGGTTAGCAAGGGACAATCCCAACCATAAATAGCGGCCGCCTGCTTAGTTCTTGAAATGGTTCCGGGGATCGACCAGTTCAATACCGGGTGTTGATGGTGACTCAGGTGGCAGTGCTTTGGATCCAGTTTCCGGACCGGCTTTCCAGCGTCTAGCTTTGGTCTGGTGGGCCTGACATTAGTCTCTGATGGACAATACTTTGCACCAGCTGTGGTTTCATGTTGGTTTCCCTTCAAAAGCAATAAAAGCAGCACCAAACAAGGTGCCCTCGAAAGCTTGGTGTTTACTCTTTGGTGCATTTTGCCAAGGGATGTTAGCACTTTAGCTTTTTGCCAACTGATGGGTTTTCCATATTAAACTACTAAAAGTTGAACCTGTTGGCAGGGGAGCAGATTTCGCAGCCGAGAAAAGCCTTTCTGTTTCCTGTATGTTTGTTCCCCAAGGGCTCCGGGCCCCTGAGTTTAGCACTCTGGAACGGTGAGTTTGGCCAGGGAATCCCGCAATTTCCCTTTGGGAACCTCCGAGTGGCAGCTTCAAGGGAACCCAGCAGCTTTTTATCTGGCTCCCAGGCATCCGGTTCCGTAGCTTTTTAGTATTTTTTAGTGTTTAGTGGTAGTTGCCGTATTTAAACCACGAAAAGTTTAACTTTTAGCGGGGGATCTGAGGGCAGCCCAGCAGTAGTTTGCATCTTGTGGAGGGGGCATCCAGTATATCCGTTCGTGTATTTATAGGTGGGTTGTTGCTTGGTTCTTCGTCTGGGACTGTCCAAAAAGGAGGCTAAGTGGTTCCGCCATGGCGTTCTCTATATGGTAGTTCCAACAAATACTCAAGGCACTTATCTCAGGGGTCACTGGATTTGTTCAATTGTATATAACTCAAAATTAAGCAGGAGGGGTACGCAGGTTGTGGTCCATGTTTCCACTTACCAGGGTTCCATTTTGGTACCGGTTTTTTGAGCCGCCGCCAAATCAAAAGGTGGTTTTCTTGATTGAAACGATCACCACCAAACAGGATCCTGGCTCGGAAGCCCTGCTCGGCCTTGCACGGATCTTCCGTCGGAAGTGTGGAACATGCGGCCATCCCCACGGTTCCCAGCGTAGAGTTCCGCAGGCGTGTAGAGTTTAGAGGGCTTTATGTCATATCTCGCCAAATGTTGACTGGCAGCAATACATCAAGAAGCCACTAAAATAGGACTCACAATCTGCCCGATGTTGCAGCGGGTCAATGGGCTACATGTTCTGAAGTTACTAAGTTGCAGGACTTGCTTTTCGCAGAGCCACGTGTTGACCAAAACCCGGTCCTGTTGACCCCTTGCGAAACTGTGACGCACCCCTCTCTTTTCTCCTGCCACTGGCTACCACTTTTTTATCGAAGTACCGAAGGGAGGGTGCCAGAACCCCTTGTGTTCACAGTTGGGTTCTCACAATAGGACATGGAACCCCAAAATGTGTTTCGGGTTTCCTTTTGGGTTCCACTCAAACCCCAAAAGGGAGCAACCCGGGGACCTTTAAGGGGCCAGCTGGAGCCAGTTTTGCCGTGCCACAGTCTGCAGAAAGGCGCTGCCAAACACACCGCACCCCCCACAAAAGTTTGAGGAGCCCGGTGTCATGGAAAATCATCTTTCCTTGTGTCCGGGATGTTTCACATCATACCGAAAATTTCAAGAAAAGAAAACAATGGGTATGGGGAGTGGGATGGAGTGGGGGTAGTTCTTTCTGCCTCAAAGAAACCGCACTTCAATTTGAGCAGCACGTGAATCGGGTGATTTTTGGCCCCAGACTTGAGGCTGGGGTTCTGGGGCTTGAAGATGCAATTGCTCGGGCAAAGGGCTGAGGGGTCCTTTTTCGGGGAAGCCGCACTAGGTCCCCCAAGTAGTGCTAGCCCAAATGGGTAGTGTTGACTTCTGGTGCAACACGCCCGGCTGTCTTGATTGTTCCTTTCCTTTCCTTTCCTTTGAGGGTGATGTTGGATTGGTGGTTCCCAGCCGTCCCCTTAGTCGTTGAAGTTTTTCGGGTTCAGTGGGGGCTTCCACTTAACCCACTAAACGTTATTCGCTGTTCGCACGGGATCTCAAAACGGGACAGCCCAGTTAGGGAACATGCCGATGGGTCCGGCACCAAGCGGATGTGATGGACCCATGAAGCATCGTGTCTGAGCCGAATGCCACAAACCATGGCTCCAGAACTTGGACATCATCTGGGAGCAAACACACGTTGTAATGCAAGGTTGACGCAGAATTGGGGGGTGTCTTTTTTTAAGGGTACCCTTTTGGGTAGGCTTGAACAAAAGCAAAAGGAAAACCGAAACCAATGCTGGGTTGCTCAGATTTAAGTGGCGTGCCAGGCGCGTGACGGGAACTGCCTCTTCCGGTCCTTCTCAGACCAGGCTGAGGAAATTAGGAGGTCTCGAAAAAGATGTGGCTTCGCGTGTTGCATTTTCGGAGTTTTGAGGTCAGGAAACTGTGGTTCCGCGTTTGTCGCAGCTTTTGTTGGTTTTCGCTGCTAAAATCCTGTGTTTCGCGGAGTGAGAGAGAGAGAGAGAGAGAGAGAGAGAGAGAGAGAGAGAGAGAGAGAGAGAGAGAGAGATGAGGAGAGCGAGCATGGCGATGCGATGCGAGGCGAGCGAGGCGAGCGAGGCGGGAGGAGGGAGAGGAGGGAGGGAGGGAGGGAGGGAGGGAGGGGGGAGGGAGGGAGGGAGGGAGGGAGGGAGGGAGGGAGGGAGGGAGGGAGGGAGGGAGGGAGGGAGGGAGGGAGGGAGGGAGGGAGGGAGGGAGGGAGGGAGGGAGGGAGGGAGGGAGGGAGGGAGGGAGGGAGGGAGGGAGGGAGGGTAGGGAGGGAGGGAGGGAGGGAGGGAGGGAGGGAGGGAGGGAGGGAGGGAGGGAGGGAGGATGGGAGGGAGGGAGGGGAGGGAGGGAGGGAGGGAGGGAGGGAGGGAGGGAGGGAGGGAGGGAGGGAGGGAGGGAGGGAGGGAGGGAGGGAGGGAGGGAGGGAGGGAGGGAGGGAGGAGGGAGGAGGGAGGGAGGGAGGGAGGGAGGGAGGAGGGAGGGAGGAGGGAGGATGGGAGGGAGGGAGGGAGGAGGGGGAGGGAGGGAGGGAGGGAGGGAGGAGGGAGGGAGGGAGGGAGGGAGGGAGGGAGGGAGGGAGGGGGAGGGAGGGAGGGAGGGAGGGAGGGAGGGGAGGGAGGGAGGGGGGGGAGGAGGGAGGGAGGGAGGGAGGGAGGGAGGGAGGGAGGGAGGGAGGGAGGGAGGGAGGGAGGGAGGGAGGGAGGGAGGGAGGAGGGAGGAGGGAGGGAGGGAGGAGGGGAGGGAGGGAGGGAGGGAGGGAGGGGGGGAGGGGAGGGAGGGAGGGAGTGGAGGGAGGTGAGGAGGGGGAGGGGGAGGGATGGGAGGGAGGGGGGGGGAGGGAGGGGAGGGAGGGAGGGAGGGGAGGGAGGGAGGGGAGGGATGGGAGGAGGGAGGGGAGGGAGGGAGGGAGGGAGGGAGGGAGGGAGGGAGGGAGGGGAGGGAGGGGAGGGAGGGAGGGGGAGGGAGGGAGGGAGGGAGGGAGGGGGAGGGAGGGAGGGAGGGAGGGAGGGAGGGAGGGAGGGAGGGAGGGAGGGAGGGAGGGACGGAGGGAGGGGGAGGGAGGGAGGGGAGGGAGGAGGGAGGGAGGGAGGGAGGGAGGGATAGGGCGGGAGGGAGGGAGGGAGGAGGGGAGGGAGGGAGGGAGGGAGGGAGGGAGGGAGGGAGGGAGGGAGGAGAGAGATAACTTGGCTCAAACTTTCAGAGTTTGGAGGGATTGATGACACATCTCACTGAAAGTTTGTTCGACTTCACGGGATAAGTGCCCCACTAAGTTTGGAAGGATCAATCTTTGCGGTCCGTGAGAAGCTCGAAGCTTGGTGTTCTCCCCAAGGGGCAAGTACACTGATAGAGACACACGCGCATACTAAATATATTATATATACTATTTATTTATCTATATACGCGCAGCACGCATGGTTCGCCGTCGGCGCAAAGTTTTCAGCTGAAAAACCACCTTGCAACAGTCACCTCAAAACCACTTCAATGCAGGGTTCTATTTTTTCGGAAAATGGGAATCCGCTCACAGTCACAGGAATGGGAACTCTACGTGTCACTGGGATGAGAATTCTACGTGGGTATCAGGCCTTGAACCAAGATGCCAGGTACCTCTATTCTTCTCCGGTCGCTTACAAGCTATGCGTGCGGATCGAGACGGTCAATTTCCACATGCCCCACTTGCCCAAAGCCATCAGCCGTTTGACTGCCGTTTGGCTTCAGAGGTTTGAACTTTGTATTTCCGGGCCGCGAGGGAGTTGATCTCTTCGCACTTCGAATTCCTCTGCCACGAATGGAAGGAACACCTGGAAGTAAGCCTACAGAAATGCTCCATGGTCTGTCGGTTTCTTTGGCTTTTTTTTTAAAGCTGGAAACCCAAAGTTTAAAACCACCATTTTGGAGCGGTCTCCTAAAACCAACATGTTGTTTGTGGGTTTTAATTTAAAAACTAAGAGGAAAGCCTCCAAATCCTAAAAACCGACGAGTTTTCCGGAAGGTCTACGGCTGCCCGGACTACCACGCACTCGTGAGGGACAGGCCGGGGGCCAACTTTATGGCTATTTGGTGGGGTCGTTGGGTCGTTGAACTTTCACTTGTTGGGAGATTGGCTGAATTTCTCAAAGTCAGGGGTGCTTCCCTTTAAGCTACTAGGTCCCCCAGCCAGGTGCCCGTTCTCACCCCTTTTTTGGTTGGGAGGGTTCCCCTTAAAATAGACTATAGAAAAAAAGAGGGTACCCTTATTTTAACCTCTCTACTGGAGGACCTCGGCTATCACGGGCAACAGATCATCCACCCGAGGCAAAGGCCCCGGAAACAAAGGGTGATCACCTCGACGAGTACTGTTGACCCCCGGAGTACTTAAACCCGTCCAATGAAAAGAGGGGTGGCCCCAGTTTAACCTGGGTTTATTGGGGGTTCTCATTACCAGGAAAAGAGGTTGGGAGGTCAACGCGTTTTGGAGTGAAACAAGGACAGCAAACCGCATGACTAGCTCGCAAGACTCTCGGAAAGCTCGGATGCGAAAACGCTGACTCGCCGTCTTGAAGGGAAGCCGCCAGGATTCGCGCTGCGAAAAAGGATGCCTAGACAAAATGTCAACGTTATCAGTGGTGCGCGTGCTCTTTGGGCCGGCTCTTTCCATTCACATGCTCAATTGGTTTATGAAGCACAAGTCAAACGTGTCAACACGGGCAACTGATAGCACGCTCGCAAAGGGAGTTTCAACCTAGCCCATGAAGCAGGAACCCCTCATTTTAGGTTTGATGTTTGCGACATATCAGAATGCACCAGGATCGACCCCCAACATGCTTTCCTGTGGTGAGACAGTCTCGGCAAGGAATGCTCAAATAATTGTCAAGTTTGTGTATGTTTAGGCAGCGTTTGAACCTTGACGTGGAGGGCGGAACCACATGTTCCGCCTGGGGAAAGTACCGATGAGTTCATGGTACATGTTCCAATGGTTTCTCATTGACCTGTTGAATGTACCCATTTTTCTCCCTGACTTGTCAGCCGCCGTTGTTTCTTGTTGGTTTATGTTTCCCTTAACGCAGGCATCCTCGGTTTTGGGGGCCGAAGGGGCCTTTGGCAGAATGTGGACCCCAGAAGTGGTGTTCCTGTGTATTTGGTGGTCGGCTTTTTTGGTGTCCTCTGTGTTTTTCCAGCAGCCGGGCAAAAACATGTGGGTTATGTTGCTTCTTTTGTTTCCTTCTTATTTTTTTGGGGTCCCCTTTGTTTTGCCCAGGGAGTGGGCAAAAGATATGGGTTTTGTTGCTGGGGTCCTAATTCCAGCCAAGTAATGTTGACCCCAGATGAATCAACCCCAGGTATTGATATGGGGGTGTTCCCCTCCAATAGGGGTGAATCCCCACTAAACCCAGGGACACCCGCTCTTCATGAACTGTTTTCGTTTTAATCCGAGGTCATTAGGAGTTTCTCAAAATGGATTTCGGACCCCTTTTGGTTGGTTCAAGGGAAACTCAACTGGGCACCAGCCGATTGGATTCGGACCCATTCCTATTCTGAGAAACACTCCTGCATACTTGGTTCAAGGTTCTTAGGAAAGGCACGCCACACAGAAAGCCACCATTTGCCTTCACCACAAATGAGCATGGGTGCAAGATTCGGTTTATACGAGGTTCCTGGTACTGTTCTGGGTCAGAGCAGGTTTCAATATTGCTTTTCAACATGTGCTGATTTTCACTCCATGCTGCAAAGTGCATGGGTGATTGGGACTCACCAAGTCAGGTATTGGACATAGGAAACAATTCTTAAGTTGGTTGTTTCTTTTTAGGTTGGAAACGCTTTGCTTCGAGGTGCACCAAGTACATCGCGAGCGAGCGGAACTACTTCCGCCAGTTCGTGGCCGAGCCATTTGAAGAGCCGAAGCCTCGACGTAGTAGGAAGTGTGGGGTCCGTATTACCGTATGGGTCCGTGCTTTGTTTTTTGGTCTCTCTTGTTGGTTAGTCTTTGCAGGCACCCAAAAGGACAGCCAACATTTGGAGTGTTGCCTAAAAGCAGACAAACCCATATATGAGCAAGAGGTTAAAATTACCAGACAAGACCACCCAACGGCTGTCTCTCATGTTTTGGTCAAGTGTCCTTTGGGCGATTTTGGCCCACAAGATAAGCTTTCCGGGGATCTGAAAACGGACAGCTCAGTCAGGTTTGACCCAAAGAAACGGAGACGTTGATGTGGCCCAAGCTGCTGGGTGGTTCCCAGGCATCCGGTCCCTTGGCTTGGCTTGCAATTGGTTTAGGCAGGGGGGAGGGGTTTGCGGTAGGGGAATGATTTGGCTGTGGGTCAAAAATACGTGCCCAAAATGGGTTGCCCTGGTAAATGGAAACATGGACTAAAACCTGCGGTCCCCCAGTGGTTTCATTTTGACCCATACCCATTTGTGGGGGTTTCCACGTTAGACTTTTAGATCGGTAAACGGACAGCAAAACAACAGGAAGTGCGTTCCAACCGCGACTCTAGGTTCCTGGCGCGAATCCAGCGTGAGGGCGAGTGGGGTGATGATGTGGAGATCGAGGCACGCGCACGTCGAAGGTGTATGTTTGGTCGATGCCCCTTATCAAGAAGTGTGTCCGTGTTGCTTTTTTTTTTGGGGGGAAACCCTACCTTAATGGATTTTATTGGAAACTGCCAACCCGGTAAAGACCTCGTTTGGGCCAGCGCACCTCTGATTTGACTTCATGGTTGCGGGAAACAGGGGGTTAGGTTACTGCTTTCCGTGAGCGGCATTAGCTTGCATCCCCCTCACGACAAAGTCGTCATGGGATTGACCTGTGGTACTGTGGATGGACGAAATCCTGCACCGCCTGAGATTCCCCTCCAAATACCAACAAACAATGGTTTCCCATGGTGTCAAAGTGGTGCGAACGGATTTCGCAACTATCCACAGTATCATATTAGGACCTCCTAGGAGCGTTGAAGAGCTATGTCATAGACCGGTATTTCGACAACTACCCTGATTGATTCATTAACAAGAGCAGGACCCGCCCCCCGACAAACAAAAAAGAGGTGCCAAGACGCCAAGAAGGAGGGCGTCTGAAATGTTTCCTCAAAAAGGTGCCCCTGAGGGCAAAACGGGGTGTTTGACCGGAGGTATTTCCTCAGAATCAGTCAAAAGGCACTGGCACAGCCTTCAGATTGTATCATGGAACTTGTGTGCTCAATCTTGCTGGTGCGATAGGTAGGGAATGAGAAATGGAATGAACCCAGGCTTTGGTCCCCTCAAAGGAAACCACCAGTTGGATGGTTTATAGGGGTCATTCCATTTCTCATTCCCTGCTGATTCGGCTGAGCACCAGCAAGTAATGAGTTTGTGTCTGGCTGGTGTTTTCTCCCTTCGCGGTCTCTTCTAGATCCCCTTCCCCCCCCCCCCCGTCGCCCCTTCCCCTTCCCCTTCCCCCCCCTCTAAAAAACCAGTTGAGCATCCTCAGTGTGGAAGGCTGCAATGGTCTCAGGAGACCTTTTTGGCCAGAATCCCAGTGATAGGCAGTCGTGGACATGGCAAGCCAATCCGGGCCCTTAGCTGGTGAGTTAGAGTTGTTGTTTTCTTTTTTTTTTATAGTAAACACAAACAAGAAGAACAACCATATTTTTATTGCCGCGGCTGAGCCGCCAGGCGTTGTCGGAGATTTACGACTGCCGCGCCTGTGGCTTAGTCACTGAAACCCAAAAGGGGTTTCTCGGTCGCCCTTTGATCGCTTGGTCGCCTTTTTGGGGTCGGGTCAAAGGGATGACCCAAACAAAAAAACGCTTAAACGGGTATTGCTTTTGCTAGTTTCATGGGGGTATGGTTTTTGGGGGTTGAGTCTGAGTCTGCAGTGACTAAACCTGCAAGTGTCCAGTGCCCCCCGGAATTTGCCCAGTGACTAAAACCTGCGTAACCCTCGAATTTTGAGCCACTTGTCTCCCGATATGGTTGGCTTCCTTTTGGTTTCCATTTAGTTGCCCATACCATGGTTGCTGTTGGGAAACAATTTACATGTTTGCTTGTTGTGGTTTAGTGGTTGAAATCCAAATCCACTGAACTGCTAAGATTTAATTGTTTGCCCCCTTCCAACGTCAACCAAGATACCTCTTCTAGTTGTTGGCCCAGGTCGAGATCTATGGGGCTTACGGCCACTCGCCGGGAGCCCCCAGCAAAAGAACCGAACCGACTCGGCGCAGCGGCGTTTGAGGCGTCGATTTTAGGAAGCCCTGTTGCAAAAACGATGTCATAGGTTGGGAAGGACAGAGGGTGCAGAGACAAACAGGGTTTGCAAATGTAGAACAATGCTGTTGAGTTGTCTTTGGCTAACACCGGGTGAGATGATATCAAAAACAGTGTTGCCTTTTGCAAGCATAGAGTTGAGGAGCTTGGATGATCTCTTACCACACGACACCCATATTTTATGTATACCTGCGATCTATGTGTACTTCTCCCATTCTGTTCAGGGATCCTTCTTCTAGATAACGGCCCACACAAGTGATCCTTCCTTGCAGAACGTTGCCCCACAACTGATCCAACAACGGCCCCAATGATACTGACTGACCCTCTTTTCAGAAAGCAACCCAATCGAGTGCTCACTTAGGCCAACTGCCAACGTCTTCCTTATGGCTCGCCTTGTCAGGGCCTAGTGGCAGATTACGGCAGTGGCCCTTCGCAGCTGCCTCTTCTTTTCTTTGCAGCTGAGTATCACTCAGTGGGTGATTGATCGAGTGATCATGCTGACTTTCTCGTCACTTCTGTGGTTTCACGCATGTGGTAGGTCTTGCCACTGCTGCTTGCTTCCCCTGCCTTGGACATGAATGAGGCCTTTGGGGAAAGAATGGTGGTGAGCAAACAGTTGGGCAATACCCCCCTGCTTCGGCATCACAGACGGGTATTTGTTCCACAGCCCCGTTGACATGGAACAGTTTTGTGGAACCGCGAGAAGTGATGCTCCTAAAAGCAAAATGGCGAAGTCTATCAGTTTGAGAGTTATTCTTTTGGGAAACCAAAGGAGAACCGAAGCCATTTTGGTGAGTTTTTCAGAAACCATGCACACCTGCATGGGGTTCCACGCTCCTGCCTTGGATGGGTTGGTCCCTTGTGGGAATTGGTCATGTTTCCTCACCTCCCCCGTTGGGCTAAATAAAGGCCTTACCAACCCCAGTTGCCCAGTGGGTTGCTTCCTTTTTCTTCTTTTTTTTTGGGAAGGGTTCCCTATAAACTTAGCCAACCAACATGAGGATGCCCTTTTTTCCCCTGGCCACTGGGCATCTGAGCAACCCCAAGAGCCTGAGGCTGATGCGAACCTTCCACGAGGCGTGCCATTCCAAGCGGCTGCAACCCATCAGGCGCGTGGCTTGTTTTGCTCGGGCTGAGGCTGAGATCAGGTTTCTTTGGCGGTTTCTGGGGGTTATCAAAGTCAGAAAATGGGGTTGTTTCCCTTTAACCCACTTGAAATCATTACTTTGACGGTTTCTGGGGGGTATCAGAGTCAGAAAATGGGGTTGTTTCCCTTTAACCCACTTGAAATCATTATTTTGACGGTTTCTGGGGGGTTATCAAAGTCAGAAGATGGTTGGTTGTTTCCCTTTAACCCACTTGAAATCATTACTTTGGCTGTTTCTGGGGGGTATCAAAGTCAGAAGATGGTTGGTTGTTTCCCTTTAACCCACTTGAAATCATTACTTTGACGGTTTCTGGGGGGTATCAAAGTCAGAAAATGGGGGTGTTTCCCTTTAACCCACTTGAAATCATTATTTTGAAGGTTTCTGGGGGGTTATCAAAGTCAGAAGATGGTTGGTTGTTTCCCTTTAACCCACTTGAAATCATTACTTTGGCGGGTTCTGGGGGTTATAAAAGTCAGAAAATGGGGTTGTTTCCCTTTAACCCACTTGAAATCATTATTTTGACGGTTTCTGGGGGGGGGATTCAGTCAGAAGATGGTTGGTTGTTTCCCTGAATCCCACTTGAAATCATTACTTTGGCGGTTTCTGGGGGTTATCAACGTCAGAAAATGGGGTTGTTTGCCTTTAACCCACTTGAAATCATTATTTTGACGGTTTCTGGGGGGTTATCAAAGTCAGAAGATGGTTGGTTGTTTCCCGTTAACCCACTTGAAATCATTATTTCGACGGTTTCTGGGGGGTTATCAAAGTCAGAAGATGGTTGGTTGTTTCCCTTTAATCCACTTGAAATCATTATTTTGACGGTTTCTGGGGGGTTATCAAAGTCAGAAGATGGTTGGTTGTTTCCCTTTAACCCACTTGAAATCATTACTTTGACGGTTTCTAGGGGGTATCAAAGTCAGAAAATGGGGTTGTTTCCCTTTAACCCACTTGAAATCATTACTTTGACGGTTTCTGGGGGGGTATCAAAGTCAGAAAATGGGGTTGTTTCCCTTTAACCCACTTGAAATCATTATCTTGATGGTTTCTGGGGGGTTATCAAAGTCAGAAGATGGTTGGTTGTTTCCCTTTAACCCACTTGAAATCATTATTTTGACGGTTTCTGGGGGGTTATCAAAGTCAGAAGATGGTTGGTTGTTTCCCTTTAACCCACTTAGGGGTGACTTAGATCATGGTAAGATAAGGAGGCCAGTGACGGGAAAGGGCGAAGAAGTCAAGGAAAGCGTCACACCGAACTTGCCATTTGCGCAAAGGGATGACATGGATCACATCCACCAAAACGGGGAAATGGGGGTTACTCACGAAAATCAAAACCCCTTGTCAGTCGGGAACACTAACAGTGTGCATGCCTCACATGGCTCTGACACTGAGTGATTAAAACCGTATGCTATAGCAGCCTGGGCATCTTGCATGTGTGCCCCTCACTTATATGGGCGTGGCTCCAAATTAAACAACCGGAGTTGCGCAGGTTTTAGTCTTTGGTTCCATTTGCCAAGGTGCCAGTTTGGTACTTTTTTGTGACCCGCATTCTGAATGATGGCAGAAGAAACAGCCTAAAATTCCGAGGTGGACGGTTGCAACCTGGACTGCAGTTTCGATTACTTTTCTCCCGCACACCCAGAAGTTGTTTGCAAAGCTCGCTAAATGGGTTTGAAGGTGTCCAGCTTGTTCCCGAAGCGCTTCATAGAGTGTCACCTGGTCCCACCACCAAGCCATGTTCCCCACTTGCCTCGGGTCTCCTAGGGTTGCTTGTTCCTTGTTGGGGTTGACTCATGATGAATATAATCCGGAAACATATATGTTTGCATGCGTGGGATATCCTCACCAATATTTAGAATATATGTACATATAGATATACATATATATATATATATATATTTATATACACATGTATATATATATATACACATGTTCACATAGTTCGAGGATGGACTAAATATGAAACACCATTTGAACATCATTCTTGCGGGGCTTCTTTCTCTCTCTTTTTCTACGGGTACCTGTGTTTTTGCGGTCTTAAAGGGAAACCAACAGGGAAGGCCGAAGAAGCCATTTTGGGGGTCCCCTATTTGAAGGCACACGCCCTCGGTCGGGCCGGGCGAAGCCCGCCCGCAGGCTGCTCTACGAGGGCCAGTCGCACTACAACTCCCTGGCCCCCCGCAGCCCGGGGCTCATGGAACCCCGAAACCCATCGGAACCCCGAAGCTCATGGAACCGCAAGGAAGGCTTTGGGGGGGGGGGAAGGGGCTATTTTTATGGAGAAGTTCAGGATATGCCCAGGAAAAAAGCCATGAAGATTCCTTGTTAAGGGGTTAATAAGGGAGACCCCCCCTTCCCATAGCCCTTGTCCATGAGAAGCCAGGCCTCGTGGCTTTCCCCCCAGAGGCGTTTGGAAGACTTGCTAGGTCCCCCAGCGAGATGCCCAACTTTTGCCAACATGTTTTTTGGGGGGAGGGTTCCCCTACTAAAATAGGCTGCAGAAAAAAGTAGGTACCCTTATTCTAACCTTTCTACTGGAGGACCTAGCCTGACTTTTTCCCCGTTTTGCCTGAAAATGTTTGACTTCCATGATTGGAGTTTCAATGCATGTCGAATTCTATGGTTGGGGAAAACCGCTTTAAAGTGTTGGCTTCCATGATTGTGGGAAGCATGCTCACTGTCATTCCCTCATTCCCTGCTCAGCAACAGCAAGGAAGGTTGGTTTTTTGGATTGGGAACTGGATTTGGCTTTGAATTCCTTCTAGACCCTGAGGAACACCACCAAACACCAATCCAAGACAGTAGAGGGAAACGGATCTTTGGTTCAAGATCAAGGCGTTGTCTCAATGAAATGGTGGTATATACGGTATAGCTTATCGCAGGCATGGCACACTATCAACGGCCTGCTCATCCACGGGGCGTGTGCTAAAAAAATTGTTTGTTGGTTTTCCCCTTTTTTTGTTTTGTGCGGCGCCGCTCTGGAGGGCGTGCTATCAAAAGAAACTGTGAAACCGTGGCACAAAACCAAAGCCACAGATGTAAATCGGAAAAAATCGCCCTCGGTTTCTCCGCCCCAAAGATTTGCACAAGAAACGTCCTGCGGCTTTTTCCTTCGAAGCCACCGAACGGAAAGGAACCCAAACCAACTCTTGGATGGGATCCTTGGTGTCAGTAGAAAAATCCACGGCGGTTCCCGTTTTGACGTCTTCCAGGGCCGTCCGTTTTCCCCAAAAAGATGTCTATGCTCGGGATGCTTGGAGTGGTTGGGATGATTTCAGATCATATGTTGGTTTCGGGCTTATCCCCAGACACGTGGGTGGCTTCCTCTCCTTTAAAATTGGGAGGCCTCGGTAACTGTATGGCGATTTGATTGGATCTTTGGACTTAACCTGTTTTCCCGAAACTGTGGATTTTCCGTATTGGACCAAACAAAAGTTAAGTTTTTTGCAGGGGGTCTCGCCAGCAAGAAAGTTTTGTTCAGATCATGCCAAGGTACCAAGCGCGGCGTGCTGTGAGTAGCAATCAGTTAGCACATGGACCCCTTGTGGCCCATCCATTTTCGCGAGGGGTACTGGCCACTTGGTAACAATGTTTACCTCGGAAAATACACCCTCCCCCTCCCCTCAAGAAGGTTAACCCCCAGATTGCTCAAATGGGTACGAGTTTTCATTTCAGGGGCACTTTGGTGGACATCATTCAGGTGGGGATTCATGTCCACCAATCACTTCTGAGGTGGTTCCCTATGGAAAAAAGACATGGCCATATACAGCCTATTCTGTTATTACCGCCACATGGGTGGCCTTTTGGAAAAGTAGATGGCCCTGGCAAATGGCTTGTACACCCCATCAAAACCAGTGGCTTGCCCATCTACTTTTCGCCAACTAGCAAATCGAAGTCTAAGGCGGGCACCGGCCTTTGCTGCTGCAGCGCCCGGGCGAGCTGGAGGAGCCGATTTTTTTGGGATCGTGGTGTCGTTTTTGGTTTCTTGAAGGGGAGGGCGGGAGGGGGGGAGGAGCGGGGGGGAGGGGAGGGGGAAAGTGGCTGTTGTCAAAACCGTTTTGGGATCTCATGTTGGTTGGTGGGTGAATTCACCACTCTTTTTAGAACCTGGTTTAGTGGTTGGATTGGGATGTTCACTAGGGGTACGGGCTTTTGACCCATGGCCAAATGAGTCACGTGCTCAAAACCGATTCGGGGAAGTGAAGGCTAGGGACAATCCCCTTACCATGAAAAGCTGCGGAAATTTCCTCCTTCTTAATTCTTGAAGCATGGTTCTGGGTCCATTTGAATACCGGGTTTTGAGCAAGTGCCTCAAGTGGTGGGTTCCTTGAAGGGGACCAAATCCGTTCATTCCCACGTTCCCCATTGAGCAAGTCATAGGCCTTCCACAAGTATGGACTCTCCTCCTGAGGTGTCCTTTAAGGGAAACACAACACTCCTGGAAGAGGACATTTTTATTCCAAAACCGGTTCGTGCGCAGGTTCTATGTTTGTTTGTGGCAGGGCACCCTCACAAAAAAGACAAAGCTGATGCTCTACATAAACAAAATCCTGTACCGCCTAACAAACCCTGCAATGATTCCCCTGTCACTGTAAGTACCAACAAACATTCGGGCTTCAACCATGGTTTCATTTCATGCAGCAAACAGATTTCGCAATCATCCACAGTGTCATTCCCCTTGCCGTAAGTATGATTGCCATTGACGCTTGCGAGAGGAAACCATAGATCCATTGACAAGTGCCCAAAAATAAGCGTGTCTTCCCAAAAAGTTCAAAGTCCAGCAACTCAGGAAGAGAGTCTGCCCTCCCACCAACTAACATGGAAGCGCACAAAGCCCCTTTGCAAGAGGAAAGTAGTCCTTCCACAGGGATCTGTGCACTTCCATGTTCGGTGGAATGGTATATGGGAAGTGAGTTCCAAACCAGAGACACCCCACATGACTTGCTTGTGCTCAGGGAATGTGTTCGTTTGTGAGAGGGTTTGTGGATGGGTGAAAAGGAACCCAAAGGCAGCCAACCTTTTTTTGGGGGTCACCTTTCAGGTTGAGTCATTGGCCTAACGTGTTGCTTCCCGATGCATGCCAATCAGCCAAAGGTCCAAACTTTGCGGGTTTTGTTTGGCAGATCCATAGCTTAAACGTTCAAAGGGGCGTCCCACCTTCCTCCCCCTTTGCTTCCGCTTACTTCTCTTGACTGGATTCGGGGGAACCTCCCCCTCCCTCCCCTGCCCGTTCCGTCCCTGTTCCCCGTAGAGGCAGTATGTGAGTCGGCCAGTCTGTTCGAGTTGAGCAAACTTCGTCAATACACCTGCCCGAGACCCAATGTTGCCCGGTCCGTGGAAGGTCTCTGACTGTCCGTGATGAAACGATCCTTATATGGGACGACCATTGGTTTCAAAACCACCAAAAGCAAGACATGACTCTCAAGCACAACAAGTTCCCCTTCATTTGGAGACCGAAGGGAATATTGATCATTCCCACTTGCCCAGTTGGAACCACTCAAGTACCCCCCGCCACGAGCGCCGGGGAGGCCATGGGCCACAATCATGGCTCTGGTCTTTTCACCTATAATCCTTCCGTTCAAACCCTTGAATGTTCCACGGGTTTGGTTTGGGTGGCAAAGGATATTTCAAGAGAATGGCAAAGGATGGTGCGGCGACGCGCCAACTCTGATCACTGAGATTCCCGCAGCGTTCCCCCTGACGTCGACTACAGACTCACCGGTGCCAACTTCGGATACCCTAGCCTCGACGGCGGCACCAGCCCCGGCCCGAGTGAGAAGGCACGCAGACGAGTGCGTCGCTAAGATCTTGGGTGAGCTCCAGGTTGCAGAGGCACAGCTGTTCCTTGGCAGCTTTGGTTTTTGCGATTCGGGGAGGTTTCACAGTGAAGCCGCAAACCGGCGCCACAGGATGCCGCCATCAGCAAGTCCCAGCGCCGGAACGAGGCACGCCGCTCGGTGGCTCGGTGGCTCGGTGGCTCGGTGGCTCGGTGGCTGGGACTCTTTCGCCGGGAGGTAAGGCCCACCCCTCGTTTCTGTCGTCGTTTTTTTTGTTGTTGGCCCCATCCGCTGTTCTTATGAGAGAGAAAAGGCAAACATCAAATAGACAGTTTGGTTGGACATGCTTGAAACAAACAGCTTGTGAGGAAAACAGAACCATCAGAACAGTTGAGAGGGGCATGGTCGCTGGTACCCAACCTGGAATCCACCAGAGCACTGCCGTTGGACATTTAGAAACACTCCGTTTGCAGCTTGGCAAGATCGATTTAGTTGGAGACAACCAAGTGTGAACTTTGCTGCAGGTTTTTGGCAGGTTGATGGTTTGTTTGTTTTTTTTCCCCGACACCAATGCCGGTGGATGAGTTCATGATTCAAGCCGAAAAAGACTGCGTGTGTTTTGGACCTTTCAGGGAGTACCCAAGACCACCCAGTGACAAGCATTGCTGACAGCACAAACTTGGACAAAAAGCGGTGCCGGAGTGTGCTTCATTGGCAGCCATGCCACTTGCATTTCATGGCGAAAAGTAGTGACACCTGCGTTGGAGGGGTCATTTGCCTTAGGGTGGTTTATATACGGGTCATTCCATATCGCATTCTCTGAGAACCAGTGAAGGGGAGACTCGGTTGCCTGGGACAATCCGTATAGAGTACTGAGCACAGGTAGCTGGCTCCCCTTTGGCCCGAATCTGGTTGGTAATCAGATTCCGGTCGGTCTGCAACATACCTAGTTCCAGAAACAAAGATAATCTGGGTCCCCAAAGGCGAAACCCAAAAGGTCTGTTCCGGTCGATTCGCTTTGGGAAGTAAGCAGCAACCAACATGGGTGGGCTTGTCGACTTTTGGAGGGTACTGCGAAACCTGCCAAGCAAAAGCGCTCGGTTGATGTGACAAAGCCTGGGTACCAAGAAGACCAACCTCTTCCAGGGATGCCTGCCGGGATCACCACCTTCTCACGTATGGATCCCTTCTATTTGCTTTTCACCGGGATTGTTTGACCTTGGAAGGGGAGCAAACATCTAATTTTTATAGCAGTTAAGTGGGAACGTGGGGATTTCCCACCAAACCACAATAAGCAAACATGTACGATGTTTCCCAACAACAACCATGATATGGCCTTAATTCCTTAATCCCTCACTCTAGAGTGTAACAGTCTAAAGAACTGCATGGCTCGAGTGTTCAATGGATTCCGCTCCGAGCGCGCTCGGCAGTCGACTGGCGCTTCGCACGTGTCGCGTGCCGAGATTTTCCGGGACTGGCTGGAGGTTGGAGGGCCCCCTGCTTTGGACGGGGCCTAAAAAAAACTCACCACAAATCGCTCAGGTCCCATTCTATTATATAAAGCGACCAAATGGATGGAGCGCACCGGTTTTGCGGCCCTCCAATCCTCAGGGCCCCACATCAACCCATCAGGGCCCAAGAATCCTTGGGGGCCTCAGGCTGTCAGGCCGTTCTTGTGGATTCCTTTAAAGGAAGCCATCCACCTGGCGGTTTCCTCGAAAACCCCTCCGGGTCATTCCCACCATTCTAGGGGTAGCTTCCATTCCCATTTTTTCCAGGGATCCTTCTTTCCACAAAACCTCCGGAAACAAGGAAAACGGATCCGGTTTTTGGAAAGCACGATGGTGGAAAAGAATGGACAAGGAATGAACCCCTAGAACCATCCGGCCTCGTTCACTCGGAGCTTCGCTCCGCAGGCCGGGCTGCGCCGGGAGGGCGCCTGCGAGGCGGACGCGCAGCTCACGGAGCAGGAGGCGCGCCCGCCACGCGTCGAGTGTCGCTCGGGTCGACAAGTCGAGGTTGCGTCGCTTGAGTTGCTCTCCAGATGAACATGGACCCCAGGAAAGCAATGCGTTTTGAAGTGAGGTGAAGGGACCCCTCAAAAGTGGGCAACCCATGGCAAATTGTAGGGGACATTTTCTGTGTCCCCCAGCCAGGTGCCCGTATGGCCCGTATGTATCGCAAGTAAGCAACGTAATTACAACTTGTAGCCTTTCCACCCCTTTTTTGGTTGGGAGGGTTCCCTTATTCTAACCTCTGGAGGACCTAGGTTGGGTGTGGCTCAAACGAGGGCTTGCCCCACAATGGCTTGCCCCACAATGGCTTGCCCCACATGTAAAAAGTAGACGCAAACCTGCGGTTCCCGCACTTTCGCAACCACTTTTTAGGTTTGGTTTAGGCGTGTTTTGACCGTTGATTATCAATCTACTCAGGGTTAGACCATGTTTTGGGGTCAATCTCGCTCGGAAGTGAGTTACATGGACGATGAGTTTCTCAGTTGAGTTCCGTTTCGGACCCTTAGGTCGCACTTCTGGGCGGGGGTTTGAAGCATCTGGCAGACCAAAGGTGTTGGAGCTGGGGGTTGATCAAAAGGTTCTTTACATGGGACGCACACAAAAATATTATATTTGATGAGTTGGCAAAAGTCCGTGCTCAGCAGACAGATCGGAAAGTACATGATCATCATCCGGGTGAGGAGTTCTCAAGTGTTTGTCAAGGCGGCACGCTTCTAAACGTAAAACCAGCAAGTTACCACCCATGCGCTAGCTTCGCGCGAGTGTCGCACTAGCATTTTATCTTCCGCGTCACGCAACTTATAATGTCCTTGTGCAGCCAGCGCATAGAACTCTCGCGTAATGAAGCCTATGTTCAGAGTCATACTGCAGTCAGACATAGCTTTTGCTTGCAGCAGAGCTTTCGAAGAACAGATGGCTTACTGCGCCTTTGCTGCACTGACTTGTGCGTGATGGAGACGGTACCAGGCTACGCACTCCTGGTCGCAAAACGAGGTCAGCGAGCGCTAGCGTGGCGCTAGCACAGCGCTGGCCAAAGTGACCTAGAAAGGCTTTGCGAGGTGTGGCGGTGTGGCCCACTGTATGGCCTGTTTGGGAGGTTGCGCGGCAGCATGAAACCAAATCAACTATTTCCCTGACTGTTAGTGAATTAATCAAGGTCTATAACTTGCCTCAAAAAGACTGAGCTAGCTACGTCAACGAGGTAAATGGTGTCAATGAGTTATTATTGCCACTTTGGTGGGCCGATTGGCAAGAACATGTCAATGACTCAATGTGTGAAACACGTATATACGGGCCAACAAAGGCTGACCTTGTGATTTTTTTTGGTTGTCCCGTTTCTGTCCATCTTCAGCCAAGGTTTTAAATTCAGTTGTCCAAAGCGAATCGACCTCTTACTTTTTGGTTTTGCCATTGTTGGAGCATTTTTGTCATGGGCCAAAAAGGTTAACCTTGTGTTGCCTGGTTCTGTAGTTAAGGTCTTAAAGGGTTAGCCTTTTTTCTACTGTGTCTTTTGGGCAACTGAGCAAAGTCAACTAGGGGCCATTTAGATCGGGGTTTCTTTTGGTGAGCAACCGGGGTTATCTCGGATGAATAAACCCGTGCTATTAGCAGGACCCAACCACTAAAAGGGAGCGGATCTATCTCTCAAAACCAACCAGCTGTTCGAATTACCAGATCCTTTCCAGTAAGCCAAGCTCCATTTGTACAGCCGGGGGCTACTTGATTTAGAGGCTTCCTTTGATTTCTGGGCTAGGCGTGGGGAAGCTGGGCAGCTGGCAAGAAACGATGTTCCCGTGAAAGCATCAGCTGCGTGAAAGCCTCCGCTTGGCGCAGCTGTAGTCCAAGGGCAGGGGGCTGGGCGCTACGAACTGAGGAGCTTACTTGGAGGTGGGGGCTGCCGCAGTCCAGGGGCAGTCTAGCCATTTCTAGAGAATTCGCCCTTGAATTGACGCTACAAGCCACTTGAACAATTCACCCCTGAATTGACGTTTACCTTGGTCTACCATACGAGCCAAAGGTCACCCCCGGTTTTTTGGCGCTCACAACGACCCTTTTCCGCGGGTTCACCCGCGGCCCGGAACGCGGAGAGGTCTTCGAGGAGTCCATCCGCCTGAGCCGCATGGAGTTTGAGCACAAGTCCGACGCGGAGATGGCCACTTGGCACTTGGAGCGCGAAGACTTGGGGTCTGAAGGCTTCCATTTGAGGTCTGTGCTGTGTTTTTTTTGGCCGGGGGGAGCTCCCTTTGGGGGTCTTAAAGGGAAATGTGGGGGAGATCCTCTTTTGGTGGGGGTTTGGTGGGAAACCCGAACTGAAACCAGTTGCAAAATCTACTTGTGTTTTGTTCTGGTTCTGAACGAAATCTTCCGTGTCCAGTGGGCCAAAGCAAATGGAAGTGGCAGTTTGTAGGGCAACCCGAAGGAAGGGGAGATGTGGGTATTACCCATTTCGAAGCCAGAGGGGGGAGCCGGGGTCCTTTGAAGACTCAAAAGATGGCTATGCACATATGAGTTTGTGTTAAAATCGGGTCGTTTCAAATGAGCCCTTGAAAGAGTACCCTCGAAAAATGACACTCCCATGTAGAAGTAAGCAGCTCCTAAACTTTGTTGTCTGTGTTCAATGGCAAGGGTGCCATTTTCCACGCTGCCTGGTCGAATGATCATGCGTCAAGGGTATTTTTTTTTTTACCGGTAGTGTACTCAGGCCATTTTTTGTTTGTTTCTTCGTGGACCTCAGATTGCCAATAGATTTATGGTTTGGACTAGCGAAAGCTGGGGGATTCTCCTCCCCACCTCAGATTGCCCTTAGTTGGCTTGGATTTTTTTCCTCCCCACCTGGGTTGGTTGGGGATTACAACCCACCTCAGATTGCCCTTGGCCAAGCAACATATTTTCGGATTGTTCAGGGGCCACAGCTCGACCAACGCCTGGCGAAGCGGCGAACCGTCTCTCCGAGGATTCGGCTCTGCAAGACTCTCGTGCCGACTGGGAGAAGTCCGCAACTCAGTGTACAGACCTGGCCCTGGTCCTCAAAAAGGGAAAGAGGAGGTTGTTTGAACCAGGTGGGTTTAGTTTCCCTTCACATACCGACCAGAAGGGGGTCCAAACTCGCAAAGAGGTTCGCTCAAACTCAGTCGTCTATGGTTCGTTGGGGCACATGGAGGAACTCGAGCTCTAGTTTCCCGTATAACAGCCGGCGACGGATCGATCTATTTGGGAAAGCATTTTGTCTGTGTGTGAGTGTTTTGTTTCAGGGTAGCCTTTTCAGCTTGGTTTAAAGGGAACCCGAAAGGAACACTGACCATTTTGAGGGTCTCCTATATACCCATGTGCTCACTTCCTGAGTTCCTAGACTTTATATTTTTGAGAAGACAATCTTAGCGGTACACATTAAAAGTTCAGTCTGTTTAAATTAACATCCACTCAAGTGAGCTTGTAATTCTGATCGTGGCTCAAATGCTTAAACAAACACACATGGCTCGTCGGCAGGTCCGAGCGGAAGCGGATGGAGGAAGAGGTGGTGGACGCCATTTTGCAGCAATCGGCCAGGGCCTGGGAGAAAAAAAGCACGGGCGAGAAAAAAAAACGGGGCCCCCAAAGAAATGGGTGGGGTGTCCTTTTTAGGTTTCCCTGACACACCCACGCACACGCACACCCATCGTTGAACGGAGCTCCCAAAAGGAGATGGGCGGCTCGTCTTGTTGAAGAAATTCAGCCTGTTTGACACCCAGCAGGCACCTCCATGCCCTTTCCATGCTTTTCCTTGAAATTGCTGGCCGATGATTATGTCAGGTATTTCTACGATGGAGCTCAAAGGTGGACCGCTCGCTTCCTGAGTTCCTGCACTTGAGTCACTTTTGGGAAGACCATTCAAGCCGCAAACAAGAAGTTGTTTTTGGTGTGTATATATATATAAATACTCATATATATATATATATACTCAACGGAAGTGAGACCAGAAACAAAACACATGTTTTAGGATATATATATATATATACATATATATACGGGCGAACCCTAAAAACCACATCGAGCATGCATGTTGGGCATCAAACTAAATCCAGAGCACGGCATGTTTTGAAAGTTTTCCCCTACGCATCGTGCAACCTCAGGTCTTGCGGAAGGGTGATCCTTCGGTCGCCGAGTTGGAGATCTGTGTGTTTTTTTGGTTTTCGCCCTGTCGCTTTGAAAGCTATGTGTTGTGGTTGTCGGCGGCCTTTTTCGGCTTGATTTAGACAGAATCCGGTAACCATTTGGTGGGTCCCCTCATTTTTTGACACTCACGCAAATAATGGTCATGACTGGTCCTTCCCGTTCCAAGTTGGATGGTCCAGCAACGTGCCAAGTTGGGTGTCGTAAATGGACACCGAAAGGCAAGCGGCTATTCTGGTTGGGCTCCGAAACCCATTTTGATTGTTGTTGGCATGTGTGTTGTTTACTTGTTTGTGTTTTTGTAGTGGTTGTTTTTCACAAAAGAACACACACACACACACACCATGAATAGAAATCATCATATTTCTTGGTTCTGTTCATTTTTAGCGGGGCTGCACACAACCTTTGTTTTTACCGTACCCAGGGGCTGTTTTTTGTTTTCTTTTACAAATCGCCTGCGATTTGGTTTCGCCCTAGCGGGTGTTGAGGTGCTGGAGGAGGAGCAGAAGCAGCTGAGCATGGCCATGAAGGAGTCGAAGGAGTCGATCCGTCGCTTCCGTCGACTCGATTTTCGAGTTTGCCGTGCGGGTTCGGCTTAGGGTCCGCGGGGACTCCGGTTTAATGTTGACCCCGGATTAATAAACCCCTGTTTACTAATATGGGGGTGTTTTTTCTTTCAGAAGTGATAAATCCCCACTAAAACCGGGGACACGCCCATATTAATAAACAGGGGTGTATTAATCCGGGGTCAACATTATCGTGTTTCTTCAAGGGAGCCCAGAGGATTTGGTTTTGACACAGGCGTGGCAGAGTTCTACTTGTTTGACCGTTTTGGCTTACATGGCCTTGCCAATTTCTGGCTGACCTTGCCAAGAGGAACACTAATACAAAAGGGGGTCTGCATCCTAAAAGAGGAGCCACCCAACGACTTGCCGGTGCGATAGGCAGGGAGTTGCAATGAACCTGCAAACTCCCTTAAATGAAGCGATAGGCGACGGTGCGATGGAATGAGAAATGGAATTGCCCCGCAAAAAGACATCCAACTGGTGGTTTGTTTTAAGGGGACCAATCCCTGGGTGCATTCTGACATTTACTGAGCAGAAAAAAAGGTTGAAAGGGCCCCACATTGCAGCTGAGCATGCCAAACAAAGATGATCCCGGATCGTTGGGGAAGGGATGGCCTTCCTACTGTTCCAAGAATATATTCTAAAAGCAGGGTAGGCTAAAGTGAAACAGAGTCAGATTTTCTATGACCCACATGGAACCCATAGGTCCCTTGTGGACAATTTGGACTGCCCCCCTGCCAAGTTCCGTGATCTCACTTCAGCTCCGTTGCGGACTTTCGTCACTTTGCGTTGGAAAGCCGCAAACCAAGTGGTCAACCAACATTTTTGGAACATGTTGTTTGTTTGCCAAGCCACTGAAAGACGAATTCTAGAAAGCAACCGGTTGGGAGTTTTTCGGTTTTTGAGTTTTCAACCCAGCGGAGAGCATGTGTACCTTGAGCATCACTCAGGTAACAGGTAGCTAGTTGGTGGCTTGGATTGGGAACTGGGGATTTGAACCCAGAATTCTAGAGGGGAAATGGCGGCTTCCCCCTCCGGAACACCAAACCACCAATCCATCCAAACCACCAAAATTAGCGGCCGATTGTTTTTATTGCCAACCCACTCGATCGGAAGAGGCTGTGTACTCCGAGGGGAATCGCCGTGGGTCGAAACGCTCGTTTCAGCGAGAGGACGAGGTGATCGAAAGCCGCCCGGACTTCGCAGCGCTCTACGGCCTGGCAGCGCGACCCCCATGGATCGAGCGAACTTGGTTGAGCCGGACCCCAGGTTTTCGTCTGTCTCCGAAAACAGTATGTTTGCGATTTGACCCTTGCTTTGTTTGCTTCATGTGTTGGGTCTCCAAAAGTACGCAAAGCATTTTTGGGTCACTGTGGTTTTGGTTGTGGGGTTTTCCTATCTACCATACAGGGGTAATCATATTGGTCTGGCATTCGGTGGTTATGGTTTCAGTTGGTGCATCTTCCGGGTTGCTGGGAGCGTCTAACAGGATTCAGTCCAATGGTTGCGACCCGGTTCAAAAATTAAGGCGCTTCCCCGTGTAGAGAATACATTGCGTTCGGCACAATCGAAGAATCCCTTTTTGGTTGGCTGGGGCCCCCACTTAAACGACGGCTCCCAAAAAGGGTTCCTCAATTTCTGAGCTCCTGCACTTTAGTAGCTTTTGGGTTTGGTTTGAGTGGTAAACATTAAAAGCTCGGTGGAGCTTTGCTGGGTCAATCTACTCGTTTTCGGAAGTGAGGTTCAACTTTTTGTCCACAGCCAAAGGCTCCTGGGGCTTTTTGTTGGAGGACCCAGACTCCTCCGTTGGACACCTGAGAGGTGTTTGGGGTCTCAAAACCTGGCGCTTTGAGGGCCCAGAATAAATCGGGAGCCTCTGGGCAGCCAAAGGCTATGGGGAAGCTCTGTGTTTGGGCTCTCAAGTTTGTTCGCGGCTCGGCTGAGGTCAACTCCGACGCCTTAGCCTCAGCGAGCGATTCGACGTGTTCTTTTTTGTTTTTTCCCGCCGGCGTGGGTTTGGTTGGTTTTCAGTGGGAAGCCAAAGAGAACGAGCAATTTGGAGGGGTCCCTTTTTTGACACATATAATATGAGATGGTCAAATGGCAAAAATCTGGCTGGCGCCGGCGTGGCAACATTTGAAGGTGGCATGCCGTGCCCGAACTTTCACGTTTCCATTGAGGAACAACTATTTTGATCGTGCCTCATATGGCTTTGACGTTCAGTCTCCGGAACGCAACCAAGAGCAGGCGGAGGTACACTCGGTGGTCCAACTCAGTTTCTGTGTCTACAGGCTTTGGGCAGCGTGATTATATGCAGAAAAGTGTCTGCTTCGAGATGGCTCTTCGGCCAAGCACGCCCCGTTGCTTCATAAGTAAGAGAAGTCCAAACTAGTCATTGATCCATCAACCTGGTTGCTTCGGGCTTGTGTGACCAAGGGCTGGGAGTTGGGCTCGTTCCCATGAGGCTTCTCCTCCCATTTTGGGTCTGTGGTCAGCGTCTGGACTTTTTGTTGGTTGCTTCCCAAATCGCCGATATTGTCCCACTTGCGACTTCTGAAACAAATGGGCAGGGGCGCCGGTTTTGTCGATCTTACAAACCCGCGAGCAGGAAGCCCGGAAAAAAACGCCTGGAATTTGATTCTGCCTTTGTACCTTCTGCCTTTGTAATCTTTATACCGCTTTTGGTGGGTCAAGGTCAAAAAGAATCGGGTTTCTTGGGACTAATTCGAGGCAGTCCAAGGCTCTTCCTCCTCGTCTGCCCAAGAGAGGCATCCGGTGGCGCTTTTCCGGGCGATTGGGGGGCAGGGTTCGCAAAGGACATATGGAGACGGGCAAAACGAGGGATTCAACACATGATGAAGATTGTGAACATTGGCGGATGTTATAGCTATTTGGCCATATGGGTGGTGAATTGTGAATTGAGAGGGCTGGTTCCTGAAATATGGCTCACAAGCCTTTCGGCCGAAAACCTCTTGCGTCTCACTTGAGTTCCTGGACAATATTTCTTAATCATTGCCTAGGAAGTGACGAGTTGAGTTGTGTATAGCAAACTTAGAGAGATCAGACGAATTTGGTTGTCGAGCGACTTAGTTGTGTTTGGACGTGTTCTCGCAGGGTGTTATCACTGCGACCTACGCAGGTTTGACCGTGTGACCTATCGCGAGATCATCACAATGGGTTGCTGAAGCGCTGTACGGTTTGCTTGGGCCAAGTTGGGAAAGGTCAGTGATGATGTCACTGTCCAGACACGCGGCCAACACCAATCATGTCCACGCGGCGTGTGCGGGAGGCTTGGACCGAAGGCCACGTTCGCTTTCAGACGATACCGGCGTTTTTCGCGGTGGCTCATGATAGCTTTTGCAGGGAGCTTCCATGTCGGCTCGCCGTTCCAGAGTCAGCCGCGCTCAGCACTTGATGTGAGCAACGGTCAAGTCCACTCACCAAATTGGCACTGGGGAGTCACTCTCCATTAACACCGATAGTCATTATGTGTACATATAATGTACGTAGCTTGGTTGCTCAGAGTCCCTGGCGACGGTTGTTCGGCTGCTGCACTTGCAAGCGGCCCGTTCTCCAGTTGTCTCCGGTGTGCGGTTGCTTTGGGGGGCACATTTGCTCGGCCTTGTTGCGCAAAAATCGCGCCTTGGGGGCTGCGGCCGGTGGTTGCTTGGGGGTATCGTCTCTTCCGGTCGGCCGGGTGCGAAAAAAAGTCCTTGAAGGGATGGCCCTGGACTCCCTGAAATTAGACAGCAACTAGTAACTGAGGGAGCCCACTCTTGGACCCTTTAGATTTGTGGGGAATCACCTTAAGGTTCCTGAGGGATTAATGACACCAGGCCCATATGACTCAACCCTTGTTTATTCATGCGGGGGGCGTGGTGTCCCTGGGTTTGGTTGCGAATCAGACCACTTTTGGAGGGGCCTCCACCCCTATTGAGAAACTGGGGGTTCATTAATATGAGATCAACATTATGCACCCTATCACTTTGTTTCCAGAACTCATTCGGTCGCAATAGTTTAGTTCGTTGAACTGTGTGCGGGTCCATTGAGCCCACTTCTCAGTGGCACTTTGGGCCACATGGGACTCTTATTCCAAATCAGGGTTGTAATCGTATGACAATAATTTAGGCAATTAAAAATAGTTGCGAGTTACCAAGAAAGATTAAAATCGCAAAACAACAACAAAAACAGCAAACAAACCATACACACCAGACAAGAAGCAAATCAAGCAAACACAGATGAAACAAATAGCAGAAACACAGAACAAAAAAGGAACACGCACGACAAACAAAACTCACAGAACGCACCCATTCAGGCCTTGGTTTGTTCTGTGTTATGTCTTTGTTGTTCTTCTGCTTTGTTCGGTTGGTTTCCTTGGTTTGTGCACATGTTGAAGTCCAGGCCTGCCCCCGAACTGTCCCTGCCTGCATTTTGAGATTTGTTTTTCTTTCTCTGTGATTTTACTCGGGTTTAGTTCAGATGCCTGAATTGTTTTTGCCTGCATTTTGTTGTGTGTTTCTTTTGGTTCGTCTGTTTTGTTCCTCGGGTTTTGTACGTGTTAAAGCGAACTGTCCCAGTATTTTGCGTTTTTTGCTTGTTTTTGTTCTGTTGTCTTCCTCGTTTTGGGCACATTTTGAATTCGAGGCTGTCCCTGCCTGCGTGCTGTTTTTTGTTTGTTTTGATTCTGATTTGATCCTCGGGTTTGCGCACATGTTGAAGGCCCGGCTGCTCCTGAACTGTCCCTGCCCGCATTTTATTTTTGTGTTTTTTGTCCGTTTTTGTGTGTTTCCGTGTCTGCATGTGTATTTTTCGCTGATGTTCAGTGTTTGGCTATCTCTGGGGATCATAATTGTAATCCAACCAATCAAGGGGCGCCAAGCTCCTTTTCACGCCCATTGTGAAGTAGTCTTTGATTCTTACTGCGGCCTGCAACACATCCCAGGCGTTGGCCTAACCGCATCACCCGCGCAGGGACAGCCGGGAGTTTCAGTACCCCGAGAGTGTCTATGCCGCAGGGGCCTCAGTTTGGAAAGAAAAAGGTCGCCCGGCGAGTGGGAAAAAGGAAGCCCAAAGTTTGAAGCCACACCACAGGTAGGTAGTTTGCCCCAAAGATCTCTGTAGGCTGTAGGGCGTGTTTATCCAGCATCAACTGGATGAACTCTACGTATTCGTGACACTTTACGGAACTCGCAAGGGTCTGTCAGGGTCTGTCGTGTTTGAGGGCATCCGGTTTTTTTGTTGTCTTTAACGGAAGCCAAAAGAAATACCAAATAGTGTGTCCCCTAAATCCAATTCAGGATCCTGTGACTGTTTTGGGGTCCGGCAAATAAGTCAGGCAAAGAAACGGGCAAACAAACCCGGGCGAACGTTAGGAAATCATTTTCTTGAAGTGGTCCCCAGACCGTCAAATTTAAGATACCTTCTTTACACAAAAGTACGGACACACACAGTCACACAAAGGGGTACAAGGGGCCCTGATCCTCCTGAACGTGACTGTTTTCTCTTTAGTGTCCAACTGTTTTTTCGGGTTGCTGAAAGGCTTAACTAAAGTCCCTGGGCCTTTTCTTTTAGGGTGGTTCACCTACCCAAGCTCTTCCCAGCTCAAAGGGTAAAGGCCTTAGATCCAGGAAAGGCATGCAAGTGGTCCCCGAACCATCAAATTTAAGATAACTTCTTTACGAAAAAGTAAGGGTAACCATTCGCACAAAGGGGATTGCCCACAAGAGGCTCTGATCCTCTTTCATGTGACTGTCTTGGGGTCCTCTTTAGTGTCTAGCCTTTTTGGGGCTTGCTGGAAAAAACGGTCCTTGGCAATACTCAAGTAGAAGTGGCAATACTGAACTAAGCACTGAGAGTCAGCCTTGGCAGTACTAAAGTAGAATCGGCAATACTAACGTAAGTACTTGGAGTCTGAGAGTCAGCCTTCGCAATACTACAGTAGAATTGGCAATACTGAAGCAAGTACTCGGAATCTGCGAGTCAGCTTTCGCAATACTAAAGTAGCATTGGCAATACTAACGCAAGTACTGGGAATCTGAGAGGCAATCCTAAAGTAAGTACTGTCCCTCCCAGACCTGCCAGGATTTTCTCCAAAGAGGGTCCAGCTGGGGCCGTGCAAAGAGGGTCGGTTACAACTATTGACAACCTAGTCCACTTACCCCTTTGGTATTTCTAAACATTGGTGCCCCCACGCCCCGAGCAGCGGCGGCAAATGACGGGCTGCTCCTTCCCAAGTTTGGAATCCGAAAACAGTGGAACCCATGCTCGGACTTCACCTGGAAAATGACCACATGGCTGCTACTTCGAGGTAGCAAGCTGTGTTCTGCTTGATCATAGACCCATTTCCTTTGGGTCTAACCTAACTTTCGGTAGACAAATCCCACCGCCTTCGTTAGGTTCGGTCCAAGCTCCCAGCAGGTCCCTTTGACAAGCTTTAAAGTTCCCGCAAAAAAGGGCGGGAGCCCTAAATGTCCCCTAAAAAAGGTCAAATGACTTCCTCTGTCCAGTACAAATTGTCCACGAAGCAGGGGGACGAGCCCGGAATTTCCCAGGTCCCATCTTCCATAAGGTATCCTTCCATTTGAAATGAATATGATATTCTTAATGATTCCCTGTTGGTGTTAAAGGGAATCTTTCACTACTGGATTTTGCTTTTGTTTCCAGGGGACGTATTCGCAAATGGAAATGTATGATTGCTTTCCATTTGTTTAGCTTGGCGGCTTCCAGCTTCAACTTGGTTGTCTTTTTAGTTTTTGGCTAAGGGTTTAGTGGTTGGGTTTCCGAACAGAGACAATGTTGTATAAGCAAATGGAGGTATCAGAGAATCCCACACAATCCACATATGCAAGTTGCCCTCCAAATGGGCCAAGGGCTGGTATATATTGCGTTGATGCATTTTGCTTTGAAGTTAGGACTTTAACTTGTTGCCAACTCATGGGTTTTCCATTAAACCACTAAAAGGGGAGCAGAAAGCCACCGAGTAATTATATATTACCTACATGGATGGTCTGGGAGTGTTCACCCTTCCAGAGAGAAGTGCTTCAGGTCATGTCTATGGGCTTCCCCCTGGAGAGGTGCATCCAGGCTCCGTGTTGCTTTGCACTTTAACGGGCTGACGGGGATGTCCAGGGATTTTGAATGCCGGGCTCAAGAAATGTAAATAATGTCCGTGAAGATCTCAAACCTTAGTGTATATAGTATATATACACTGCATACATACGTGTATATATATATATATACATAGTGTATGTATTTACTATATATGTACATACACATGCTACATGTCCACAACATGTATCAATGCATACCTGTGAATACATACATATATATATATACACATTCTAGTATAGATGCTCAAACAACACACGAATACATATATATATATATATATATGTATTATACACATACACACATAACATATTCATAATGGTTATTTTTGTCGACGGTGCGTTAAAACCATGGTTTTGAGTATGCCCGGTGGAGATAGTCCGGACCAACAGAAATGCACCAAACACAAGGATGAACCAGTGTACCGATTTGGTAGGCTCGGTTGTTTGGTGGCGCCATTTTTGTTGCTCTCCCAATGTTCTAAAAATGGTCGGGCCCAAAAAGGGTTCCAATTCTTGTACACTGTTATGTGTCACTGGGCAACTGAATTGGTTGAAGGGACATGCCCTTTGTCTTTCCCCCTGCACAGAAGCAAGCCTGAGGCCAATCTCATGGGAGCAACCCCTGGGCAAGTCTGCGATCAGCCTGGTATGTTGGCAATTTCTCAAAGCAGGGGTTGTGAAACGGCCTGCCCAAGCGTCTTGGGGTATTGAGAGCTTTGAAAGGGCTCCCTTTTGAAAGTTGTTTTGATCCATGTTGCGTCATGACTCCAAAGCTTTCTGGGCCCTTTGCGAACTGAGACCAAAAAAAGGCGGGTGCCGACTTAAGGAGTGGTGCCCCTTGGGGTTTCTTTTGAGCGGAGACCAATGGCAAACCGCCCTTTTTGGGGTCCACTGTTTTGAGACAATCCAACTGGCCCCCAAAATGACTCTGGATTCCTCTTGGAGACGTGGAACTTATGTCTTACGGCAGAAGGACCATCCTGGTGTTTTATTGCCAGTCTTAGCTTAGCTGAACTTATGTTTTTGCGTGCGGTTTAACGGGTGTTCCTTGACTTTCCCTTTCAACGTGCAGACAGTCGACTTCTTGCCTTGACAGGTCTCTTTCTTTTTGACCAGGCCTATCACCTCGTCGGTGACAATCCTGAGGGCATCCTTCAGTTCTGCTGCCAAAGTCTGGGCAGATAGGCGCGCCTAGCACCGAACCCTCTGAGCAGAATGGAATCATATGTCTCTTGGGAGAATTGGAACCAAACACTCGTTAGCCAAAGGAGATTTGGCCAAGAACTGCCCTGAAGGGGTCAGTCTAAATGTAGATGTGTTGTCTTGCAAGCTGGTTTCGAAGAATGCCCTCGCCCTCCAAACGTGTCATGTTGAGGTTTCTTGACATATCAGACAATGGGTGGGTTGGCCGATGCGAAGTAGTGACTTGAGCTGAAATGATGTTAGGGGGAGATGTATCGGGGTTTTCGGTTTCTGAAGCTCGGTACCCATCTTGTCAGTCCCTCGTGCGACCAACCCATTCGTAAAAGGACCCCTTTACTAGGGGCCTCTGTAGGGACGGGCATCAATCCCTTGATGGGGGGTTTAAGACAGCCATGACAAGGATTCCTACAATGGAACCAGTACCATGGCCCACAGGACTTTTGACCACTTATAGGCGGAACCTGCGCGAAATGAACTCATTGTATCTTAGAGACATGTCCTCCTGCGGCGCTGCGCATGAAACATCTGCAAAGATTCCCCTTGGGCAACGGAGAGGTTGTTTGGGTTCCAGATTAGTGTGCAGTAGCTAGACACCATGTGGGTATGGGTAAAAATGGAACCACCAGAGGGGACCGCAGAATTTCGTCCACGGGTCTATTTACCAGGGTTCCAAGTTGGGGATTCCTTTTTTTGACCCACAGCTATGTTCCATGTTTATCCGCAGGACTCTGCTTCCTGTTTGCATTTGCTTCTCAAATAGTTGGCGCTAGATTTGAGCCTCGTAAGCACTTGTCCCGAGAGACATGGGAGCATGGTCAAGGACGTTACTCATTGTAACTTGCCCAAAGCGAATCGACCTTTTCACACCGTTTGGTTTGTCAATTCCAAAAGGTGTATCTTGTTTTCCTGGGTCTTTTGGGCAAGTAAGCCTTACACCTGAACGCTCCACACAGTTTTCTCCTTGATAGCGAGTAGGTGGCTTGAACAAAGGGGCATGGTTGCCCAAAAGGGGTAGTTGTACATGCTTCGGGTGCAAGCTCAGCGTAGTAACTTGGATCCCCCACGGGTGCCCTCGGTTCCCTTGGCGCTCGCGCTTGTGTCACCCCTGTTTCTTCAGTGTGGAGGTCCTGGACAAATTGAGGAGTCCCTTTGCTTTCCCAGAAGAGTGGCAAAAAGGCAAGCGCGGCAACCCCGCTCTGCCGTCGACTTATGTCGACTTCTTTCGCCAGGACGCTCTGCGCGCTGAGTGAGCGCGCTGCAAGGGAGCTTTGAAGGCGCGATCTGAAGCGAACTACAATGCGGCCTAAATGAATTCGAATGGGATTGTAGGGTACTTCGAAACCACATCAAGTCATGATCATAAGACACTAGTGTGTTCATACAATAGTTTAGCCGTTTGCTTCTAGTTGTTATATAATATAGTCTAGGGTCCCCAGTAGTGCCCTTTTACCCCTTTTTTTTCGGGAGGGTTCCCCTACTAAAATAGACAGTGGTTTGCCGTCCGGTTTCCCGAAAAGGAGCTGCCCCAACCCACATTCTGGATGGATCTGGTTGTCGTCTTGGTTTTTCTTTTTGGAACACCCTTTGAAAGGGACTAGTTCCCCCAGTAGTGCCCTTTTACCCTTTTTTGGGCGGAGGGTTCCCCTACCAAAATAGACTACAGAAAAAAAAGGGCACCCTTATTCTAACCTCTCTACTGGAGGACCTAGGGAAGTTCCAAAGGGTTTGACCTGGGTGATGGACAGTTTGTTTGTTCGGGGCCACCTGAGGGCCATCGCAATCCCCAGCGCGACCTCAAGGGAATCGATACAAGGGAACCATAGCCCTTGACACCAAGGAGCTGAATCTCATGGTATGTGCCCAACAGTATGCCCAAGCATGTCCTGATTCTCTGATTTGACTTGTTTTTTCCTTTTTTCTTTTTTTCTCGGTGGAGACTCTCGGGAAGAAACACAACAACGACGGAGGCATGTCCATGGACTTCATGCCGTTTCACCACAGACTTTCAATCTCTGCCATATGTTGCGAACCGTGGTGGGGAAGCATCCACCTTGGCTTCGTCCTTGTTTCCAGTGCATCTTAGTTCAAGAGAAGTCTATCTAGCCCGAAACCATGCCTTATAAGAGAAACTAGTCTGAAATCCTAATCACTCCGGTAAAGGATGTTCTGTGGACTTAATACCAACATACATTGACATGAGGAGTATTTTGAAATGTGCACTGAATACCAAGACCCAATGAGGAGTATGTCCATGTTTTCCCTTCAGAGCTTTTGTTGTTTGCTTGTGGCATGGATCAGAGGTTTCCAATCAAGAGGTCTGTTTTCATGGCTATTTGGTTGGATCTTTGGACTTTAAGTTTTTGGGAAATGATGGATTTTCACTAGACCCAGATTGGAAAAACATGAGATCATGAAAGCTGAAGCACTTTTTGCAGAGAGGGTCGTTGCAGCAACCAGGATGTCAGCATACAACCCATCTGTTTCAACCCATTCAACGGCGTCAAGTGACCCTTTTCAGCGCGTGGATCCGAGGGGTTAGTTCGCAGTCTCACAGCGGGACACAAAGTGGAGTGTCGGAGATCTGGGAGCGTCAAGGTTTGGATTCTTGGATGTTACTTATCTCACTCACCCCCCCCTTTCCGATGACTTTACTTGGGCCATGCGATAACCTTAGGCGGCATGTTGCTTTGAGTTGGTTTGGTGGTTGGGTTTCCATTCAGCCCACATCTCTCCCCCCCCCCGCTGGTTTCTTCTAGAACACGGTTTGGATGTGGGTTTTGAGGATCAAGAACGCCTCCAGACCGTTTTCTAGATGTCTGATGACTTCAAGTCACTTTTTGGGGTTTTACCGTTGTACCCATGTTGGTGATAAAGCAGTGGTGCCAACCCACTCAGGAAGTGAGGTACTTCTCCCGGGCCCCTTACAGTGGTCACTGTCTTTGCACTGGATGGACCCACTGCTCTCCGCAGCCCACGTTTAGTAAGTGCCAAGCTTGGCGACAAAAGGCAAAAGGATACGATGCTTGGCTCGAATCAATTGCACTCGCCAGAACTTTGGTGTGTTTCTTCTCTGGTCAGGGGACCATGAACAGAACACATGCGATGCCAACAAGCCTCACGGAAAATGATCTGGCGCGGGTTTTTTTTTGCACGCCACGCCGAGGGAGCCCTGTAGTCTCATTCCAAGCGTTTTGAAAACGCAAGGCCGCGGTTTGTTTGGGGGTTAGGGAAAGCTGGGCTTGCTTACGCATAGCCGTAGTTCGCTTCGGTTCACCGCATCTTGTAGCCGAAGTCCCAAAGATCCAGCGGGTTGAAAGGTGAATCGGTTCCTTTTCTAGAGGCCCAAATTTTCTCAAGCGACGGGTGAATTAGACAAAAGTTGCCCGCCATGAACATATACTCTCTTTGTTTTTTGAGGCCAAACCGTTTTCCCAAAAAATCAGATGGTTTTCAAACAGCCCACTCTTTCAGGATTTGCGTGTTACCTGACAGCAGAACCTCAGTCCTGTGGGTGGTGGAGTCTTCAGCTCTCGGACGCGAATCAGATAGCTTGGCGTTTCTTTCAACGTTGAAGTGGGACACGTCGAATCCACTCCCCGATGTCCGTTTCGGACTTTAGTCGTGACTGTTTGGGTTTGGACCATGTTAAGCAACAAGGTTTGGGAGCTGGTTGTTGCCAATCCACTCAGGAAGTGAGATATAGTCAGGTAATAGAGTGCAATACAGGCGCATTCTGGGTTTAATCGGGTTTAGAGTTGGGTAAAAGTAGATGACACAAAGCCCGCATTTCGGGTTAGTCGTATCCTTGCTTTTTCCACACACTGGGAGTTGTCAAATCAACATGTCCCGTAGTTTGGGGTTCAATTGGGAGGGACATAGGTGAACCCACCTAAAGTTCCCACGAAAACAAGGGCACTCACAAATCGTCCGCCCTCTTGGCTTCCACTAGGTTTCCCAGCTAGGTGCCAACTTTTACCGTTTCTTTTTTTGGGGGAGGGTTCCCCCTGCTAAAATAGCCTACAGAAAAAAAGTTGGTATCCGTATTCTAACCTCTCTACTGGATGACCTAGTTTCTTATCCCTGGTGCTTGTACGGGGAATCTATCACACTGGCCAGAGTTGTTCATTTTTTCCGGAGCACACGCAAATGGAGGGTGGGAGGGGCCAGGTTTGTGGCCCCAGCACCCCATTCGAATATATGTTCCCCCCCCCCCCGGTTTTCATGGTACGCCTTGGTGTGTTTCATGGATGGAACACCTCAAAGATGTGCCTGGTTCGAGAAGAGTTTGCTCACCAGAAGAAAGATACGGAAGAATTGCCTTGGTCCTTTAGGTTGCTTTGGTGCATTTTGCTTGGATGTTAGGACTTTAACTTTTTGCCAACTCATGGGTTTTCCATTGAACCACTAAAAGTTTTATACTTTTAGCAGGAGAGCAGAAAGCAACCGAGGTTGGGTTATAGGAACAATGATCCAGACAAGCATCTCATTTAGGGTGTCCTGCCACCATTTCCGGTAGATTTCCCTGCGATAAAACCCTTTGTACCACGGATTCGGGTGCGCCTTTTTTTGTGCCAGCTGTTGACTGACTCATGGGCTGGGGCTGTCCATAGACTGATTTATGATGGGACGGGTGGCCCAAAAAACAAATAAATCGAAGCTCGGATCAGGAGAGCCGGTTTTGGCCCGAACCACCGAGGTGTATTGTTTGGCTTGCCTCACTTGCTGAGTTGGACTTTACACTTTTGGGTTCGGACCATTTCGGAGGGAAATACAAAGGTTGGACTTGTTTTGGCCAATCCACTCGGGAAGTGAGTTGTTGGCCTTTCGGGTTTCTTGCATGTGGGCTGTCCAACAAGCTACTTGCAGAGGGTGTAAACATGTGGCCAAGAACCGAAGCATCAGTGCATCATCCGTTTGGCCGGTCTTTGGTGTGACCCAAAGGCCCCTTAGACCTGTTGGAAATCAACGTGATCGACCTTTAG